CACATTTTCCAGAACGTCCGCACCCGCAAGCCAGAACAAACAAACATAAAGAAAGGCCAAGAGTGAAGTGGAAGACGCCTGGAAATCTATTCAAACTTGGACCGTGGTCCAGAGTCCAAATCGACTTTTGGCAATTTGGAGGGTTGAGTTTGTTCCTACTTCGCTTTCAGCATTTAGCTCTGGCAACAGTGGGCTTCAGCCGTCTGCAAAGGCAACTCCCTTTTGGATTGCGCTTTCGTTTTTTGAAGCCTAGGCTGACTCTACTCCGCCCTGCCGCAATCGAATCCTGCAATCTCTTTCACTTTACCCAGCGCGTGCTGCGACGTTTCGTTTTGTTCTTTACTTCTCGCGAGTGGCGCTTTGAGTCAAAGCTTCCGTTAGTTTGATTGAAAGCAAGCAGTCAAGCAGCAAGCAAGGCTTGTCCGCCAGCCTAGCCATTCCTGGTCTCACCGGTGCCAGGCCTGTAGGCCCGTGGGCCCGTGTTCCCGTATGGCCGCCTGTGGGCCCACGCACCCGTGCCCAGCCCGTGGCCACAAAACGGACCACTCTTGACACACAGACGGGCAGGCAGGCAGGCAGGCAGGCAGGCAGGCAGGCACACACAGACAGACAGACAGACAGACAGACAGACAGACAGACAGACAGACAGACAGACAGACAGACAGACAGACAGACAGACAGACAGACAGACAGACAGACAGACAGACAGACAGACAGACAGACAGACAGACAGACAGACACAGATGGCCTTGCACATATAGCATACACAGGCCTACCTACCTATCTACCTACCTACCTACCTGCCTGCCAACCTACCTACCTAACTGCATAATTACCAACGTACCTACTTACATACCTAATACTGACATACCTATATACCGTACTTGCTGCCCAGAAAGGTTCGATCTGAATCCTTCAGTAGACTTCCTTCAGAACCATTCCTGGACTTGTCCTTGGCTCCCACCTCGGTGCTAGTTTGTGTTTACTGGGATGCCAGGACGGTCATCGCCGGCTCCACGCTGGTCTTCGCCCGCACTTTGTACAAGACGGCCAAGCAGTACGCGGACAACAAGAAGCCCCGGCCTCAGGATTAGCGGGACCGAAGTTGGACCCAAGCGGAAGGGGTTTGGCGCGGCTCCTTTTTGGTTTTCCCTTGGGACACAACAGGGACCGTCCTATCGCGAACGCTACACTTCTTGGGGTTTCGTTTGTTTTCAATTAACACACTGGAAAACATGAACAATGGGGACGGAGGTTGACTTTTCATACATTGAAAAGAGGAATCACATAAGTTGAGCGCAAGTGCAGAAGTCACCTTGATGAAAACAGCAACACAGTGCTCTCTCACACGCACACACACACACACACATTTACCTTGATGCACACACATGTACTTTGATGCAAGTCGCGTGAAGGATGTTCCAAGAATTGGTTTGTCAAACCGTCGAACTGGTTAAGAATTTTGCCAGGGGTCCTGGGTTGGCTGCGCTGACTCATTGCGTTCGGCTTGCACTGCACACAACCTGGCAAAAACGCCGGCGAGCTCTGCGAAGTGCCTGGGACAGCACAGTTTTGCTGTCTCTTCTGACTGCTCCCAAGGTTTTTGACCCGTGTTTGTTTGATTGTGTGTCACGAGTAAGGACGCAAAGAAGTGTGGTTTCGCGTTCCGATTCCAAATAAGGTTTCGCGCAGGTCCACCCATCCGATTCCAGTTTGGACGCTTCGAGTGCCGCTTTTTGGATTGCGTCGGCAGGGAACCCAACCAGAATCCCTCAGAGAGAAATGGCATAGGTCAAGGGGGCGAGACTCAAGAGGGCCGACTGGTCCTCGTCTTTTTCTTTTTTTCGGTTTGCCAAAACCGGGGATCGGTCTGGGACGAATTTCCAGGTGCTGGTCGCCGCAGGGGGGCATGGCTTTGAGCTCCGTGCCCCAGCTGGCGCACCTCTACGCGGAGACGGACAAGGAGCGCGCGGAGTGGCGCGGTGGCGCGGTTGGCCGGGGTGGCCGGGGTGGGGTGCAAAACGGCCTGTGACCCTTGTGGTTTTTGCAAAATCGAGCTCGTTTTTGTTTGTTTGTTTGAAGACAGGTCACATGCATATGTCCAATATCTGAATCAAGGTCGGTTTGCAAACTGAATTAGACAATGGGCACACTTGGTATGGACATTTGTCCCTGAGGGATTTGTCCCTGAGGGACTTGTCCCTGAGGGACACCGAAAGGCTCTGTTACCTATGCTATTGAGTCACTGGTGCCGCTTGTGGCTTGCACCAAGCTGCGGAAGGGTGTGTCTTTGTGCGGTTGATTCCCCAATTTTCTATTGCAAGTGAATTCAGCAAGCACCAGAGTTCGTTTTTGTGAGGCACACCCGTGTCAATCTGTCGGGACGTTTCTTGGGGCCAGAATGCTCTGGCATCAAGCCTGCTAGCATTCTTTTGTGTTCTCGCTAGCAAGCAGAGCTCCCTATTTTTCCCCCTTCGGTGTTTTGCTAACCTCAGGCCAATTTTGAGAGTTTCCCGCCGGGGTGCTTTTAGGTGGGTACCCAGGGGCACGTGCCACAAATGTTCTAGTCCCTTTGTGGCCCTATACCAATAAGATTCTAATAAGATATGGGTCGATACTAAAATTACCCAGAGGTGTGTTGATATGGGGGCAACATTTTTGGGTGGGAAGAAGCCTTCACTCCTTGCAGGAGCTGAGCAGAGTCGAGGTCCCTCCCTCCCTCCGCCCTGCTCGCGCGACGGTCGATGGCAAATGACATGCTGACTCCTGAATTGATTTGCGACCCTTTGCAGGTTCCATGATAGCGGAAGGAAGGAAATCGGAGCCTAGCCTCCAGAAAGGTTGGACCCATCAGAGCCCCTTCACACCCTCAGGTTCCGTCCGAACCTTGGGCTTCATCCCTTGGGTTTTGTCCGTTCAGAATCGAGGCGTCGGGAAGCCGAAGGACCCGTAGGCCACGTGAAGGACGTGTTTGATGTGTATTTCTTCCAGCCCTCGAAGGCCATTTGTCTTGAATGGAGGCCCGGTCAGTCAACTTCCGAAAGGGGTTGAAGTGGTTTGATGTTCTCTGAAAGGATGTTTCAACAGTGTGCAGGTTCAGAGGGTACATGTAGGGAACTCAGAAGGCACCCTATTCAGGTAACATACAGGCCATGTTAGGCAAAATAGCAAGCCCTGCTGGTGCGGGTCTGTGGAAATACCGATCTCGGTTGTGGCAGCCATTTGGCCCAATCAGGCAGCTGCCAAGCCAGGGACTTGACATAAGCCAGCCAGCTAGCCAGCCAACCAGCCAACCAGCCACCCAACCAACCAACCAGTCAACTAGTCAAACAGCCAGTCCCCAGGTCACTAGTCAGGCATCCATGGTGTTAGGACCATGGTGACGTGGCACAAGATCCCCCCACCGCCCACCGCGCGTTCTATTCTTGTTTATGGACCCTCCGGAATCCAGCCAACTAGCCAGCAATTTGATCACCTTCTCACCTGAGATCCATGGCTACATGAAGGTTTGCCCGTTTTGGTCACAAAGGGAGATGGAATACACAAAATTGATGTTTTTTTTGTTGGAGGTGTCGGAGGGTTGACGTGTTCACTATTCTGTAGGAGTTCAAAGCAAAATGGAAACCACCCCGTTTTGGGGTTAGGAACCCCGCAGATAGACACGCGCTCATCTGAATGCCGACGCCCTGCGTGTCTCTGCAGCTTGGCACGCGCGGGCCCCAGGGCCCAGGGCCCCAGAGCTGGCCGCGTTCGGCATGACGATTTTGTTTCGTGTTCGGAGGGCGGGACGTCAAGTTCGGGTTTTTCTCACCTTAAAGGCGGGGGGATAGAAGCCCTAGCTGTTTTTTCATGACAAAATAGGAAACCACCTCAATCCCCAGATGATGTGCACCAGAGGGTTCTCTAGAAAGAATTCACACTCGACTAATCACAGGGCAGCCTCCTAGTCCCAACCTGGTTAATGGCCCACAAACCATCATGTTTAGAGAAGCTCCTTTTTGGGGGCCGACCCCTTTTGAGGTTCCATATTGTTTTGCAGGTGACCCTACGGCGGATTTGTTGAATCCGGCATGGATATCTTAAGACTCCTTTCAAATTGAAGGGTGCTCCTCAAAATTGCGGACCGGTTTCCTTTTTGTTTCCTTCGGCGCCATCTAAAAGGGTGATTTGTTGCAGGACTCCGCGCTTGTGAGGCGTTGCGCAACATTCTTTGATAGGAGCCCCTATTCATACAACCCAAAGTGCATGGTCGCAAGCCCTGTTTTCAGTGTTTCTTGCAGAATGTAGGGATCTATATAATGGAGCAAACCTTCCCAAGCTCAACGATTCGGGGGTAAGACAAGCAAAACAGCTGAAGGACCTTCTCTCGAGAATTCATTGTTCCCAATTTATGACTGATAATTTGTCCAGATGGCTGTGTGGGTCAAAACGATGTACCAACATGGCACCCTGGTAAATGGAACCAAAGACTAAAACCTGCGTAACCCTACCTCTTTAATTTTGAGCCACACCCAGATGAATGTCCTATTTGCAGAGACGCAAGTCGGCTCGCGGCTGAGGTACAGCTGTGTTTGCGTCGTGGACCCCCAGGACTTGGCGGGGTTGTCTAATAGACCCCCAAAATGGTTGGTCTCCTTTTGGCGTCCCTTTGAAGCCAAGCAAAAGGGGTGCTCCCAAAAAACGACAGACCCAAGTCATTGGTTCGGTCGGGTCCTTTCGTCAGCGGCTGACACTCGAGGTCTATAGCTTAAGGACTGGACCTGGGTGCCCAGCCCATTTCCTGCACACCCAAATTTTCTCAGGTCCTCTTATGTTGGTCCCATGCTGACCGTGGCTCTCGTGCCATGGAGAGTCAAAAATCGCCCGAAATGGTCGCTAAAAATATCCCAGCCCCCGAATTTGTCAGCAAAGGAGTCCTTCCTGGCCGAAGAGGCCGCTCAGAAATCTAAGGCCCACCCCATACCAAGGTGAGCTGTTGTAGCGGTACCACACCTGCACCGCAAACCAGAAAACATTGGCTCAATTCTTCCTCGCAAAAGCTACAAGTTGGCTAAGAAATAGGACGAACAAATCCAGGGAGGCTCAATTTCTTAGCAGCACATGCAGTTGCAACATGCTTGATTTGGGACCCCGCCCACCCCCACCCCACCCCACCCCACCCACCACCCCACCCCACCCCGCCCACCACCCCACCCCACCCCACCCCACCCCACCCCACCCCACCCCACCCCACCCCACCCCACCCCACCCCACCCCACCCCACCCCACCCCACCCCACCACCACCCCACCCCACCCCACCCACCCCCCCCACCCCACCCCACCCCCACCCCACCCCACCCCACCCCACCCCACCCCCTACCCCCACCCCACCCCCACCCCACCCCACCCCACCCCACACCCGCCCCGCCCCCCCCCACCCCACCCCACCCCACCCCACCCCACCCCACCCCACCCCACCACCCACCCCACCCCACCACCCACCCACACACCCACACACCCACACACCCACACACCCACACACCCACACCCCACACCCCACCACCCACACCCCACCACCCACACCCACCACCCACCCACCCCACCCCACCCCACCACCCCACCCCACCCCACCCCGCCCCGCCCCGGCCCACCCCACCCCACCCCACCGACCACCCTTTCCCCCCCGCCCCCAACCCCCACCCCCCAACCCCCACCCAGCCCCTCCCCAGCCCCACCTCACGGATCTTGTCGCCGGCTGCAAGAGCGTCGCCCTTGCTCATCTGCGCCGCAGTGAAGGGCTGCTTGGCGACCTTGAAGCGGAAGTGGCGCGCAAACTCGAAGGCGCAGAGCTTTTTTCGGTTTTACTTTGCCCTTGTCGAGTGCAGGACGGGTCGCCGGCCGCTCGTTCCGCCGCGCGTTCGGTCGATCGGCCTTAACTTCGAGGCCATGAGCCCGGCCAAAAGCAAACTCGCCACGCCTGCCAAGATGCCCGAGACGGCAGAGGCCACCTCGCAAAGCGCGCGCCAAGCATCGGATCCGATTTTGATGCATCACGGCCGTGAACGCCTTGACGGGCCAGCAGCCGGTTCAGGCGGCAGGGAGGGCAGGGCTGCAAGAGCTTGAACTGGACCGGCTGTCTGAGTGCCTCCAAAGCAGGTGTCGGGTTGTGTTCGTGGCCGGGAGCGTCGCGTTGCTGAGTGAGGAGCATTGGGCGGCTCCCGGCCGGCCGCTAGACCTCACGAGGAGAACAAGAGGACTCTCTTCGGCCACAAGCATGAGGTGTGGTCTGAGATGACGTGGGGGAAAGGGCTCTCAGAGTCGCTTGACGCTGCCGAGCGAGCCATGATCAAGCTTGCCGAAAGGCCTGAGCCCAGACCATATGTCATTGTCATTTCGTGGTCCGGGAACGACGTTGTCGGTCGCAATGGCTACATCGACAACCCCGCTGCCCTAGCGGCCACATCGCCTACAGAGATGATGTCGTCCAGATCGTCCTCATTGTGCCGAGAGACTACGAGACCTACGGGCTGAGCGAGTCATACAAAGTCCAGATGGACGGGCACGCTCGATTGCTGCATGGATCCGCAGGCATCACCGTGCTAGACCCTCAGACCCTTTTTTTTTGAACACGTCTCAAGCTGACCGCATTCACACGGATGACAATGAGCGGAACAGGAAGCACTACATTAGTTATTTTGTAGCTGCTGCCAAGCTCGGTTACTCCATCGGTCAGATCAATCGGTTTGAGAGTGCCATGAACTGGTATCGCCTTGAGAGGGAGTATCTGGACATCGATACGTCCATCCCGATCGTACGTGGTGGCGTCGGCGCCGTGAGCGTAATCAACACCGAATCTTAGGACATCCCCATGTTAAACGGGTGGCAAGGGCCCAAGCCATTGTGCCAAAAATTTGCTCAGCCACAACTGGCACTTGTTTGCCACCCAGTTCAGCCATGCCTCCTTTGCCAGAAGGACCCGCGGCAATGAAGGGCTGCTTGGCGACCTTGAAGCGGAAGTGGCGCGCAAACTCGAAGGCGCAGAGCTTTTTTCGGTCTTACCTTGCCCTTGTCGAGCGCAGGACGGGTCGCCGGCCGCTCGCCCCGCCGCGCGTTCGGTCGATCAGCCTTGACTTCGCAGGGCTCATGGCCTCGAAGTTCATCATGGCCGTGAACGCCTTGACGGGCGAGCAGCCGGTTCAGGCTGCAAGAGCTTGCAAGCCGCTGGCTAGGCCCGCCCGCTCCTGAACTGGACCGGCTGTCTGAGTGGCAAGGTGCGGCGAAAACTTGACCTCCAAAGCAAGTGTTGGGTTGTTTTCGTGGCCGGCGGGAGCGTCGCGTTGCTGAGTGAGGAGCATTGGGCGGCTCCCGGCCAGCCGCTAGCTCACGTACGTGGTGGCGTCGGCGCCGTGAGCCATTGTGCCAAAAAATGCTCAGCCACAACTGGTGCTTGTTTGCCACCCAGTTCAGCCATGCCTCCTTTGCCGGAAGGACCCGCGGCGAAGAGAGTTTGTGGCTGGTGGGGATTCTCACTTGCGCAAAGCCAACGCTCTCACAAACTAACATGGAAAGTGGCAGGAAGCTTCTGGAAAAGGAGTTTCCTTTACAAAAGGTTCATTTTCAGTTTCAGACCGCAGGCCCCCGCGGTATGACAACGGTGTGGCCCTGGGTCTATTTCAGGCGAATGTATGCGCGCCGAATGGATGTGTTGACTAACTCCGCAGTGTATCCTTGTAGAGCGCAAGCGTGGGAGATGTTTGAGAAGTTGGATGGAAAGCAGGCGGTTGAGATGCTGGTTGGGATACCCCCACACCCCACACCCCACACCCCACACCCCACACCCCACACCCCACACCCCGCACCCCACACCCCACACCCCACACCCCACACCCCACACCCCACCCCACCCCACCCCACCCCACCCCAAGAACAAACGCAACCACAATCAAAGAACCAGCATCAGCACCCGCTACCAGAGTTGGGCAACCTCTCATGAGCAGCACAGACGCAACCAAAACACGCGCGCACCAAGCAGACCGCCGGCCGCGCTTCCACAGGACCGGTGCCGCGCTCCGGAGACTATGCCGGACGCCCGGGGCGACGTCGCGGCCAGGGCCTCAAATCCGATCCCGGCCGAAACCCGGGTCAGGTGGACGCCAACTGGCGAGTTTTTTTCAACAAGGACACCCACCATTTTTGGCAGTTGAATATTGCAAGTAAACCACTACAAAACCTTAAAAAACGTGATGTTCTATATACCCCAAATCTGGGCTGAGGTGTCATTGCGGTTCTTTGGATTGGTCCAGATCCGTTTGAAACTTGTAAGCCACCCGTCCCTCAGCGCAACAACCTGGGCTGGCGAGTTTCGGCTCCGCCGGGATACGACCGCGCGGGGGTTTGATTGTTTGTCCGCGACGGAAAGGAGTGTCTCATGCACCCTGGTCTGACCACCGCCAGACTTCGCATGGCGGGATCTTAAAATGCAAGGGACGTGTGGGATTTTTTCCTTTTGGGGAAGCTTCCGGTGAACTTCCATGGTTGAAAGGTAGCCACCTGATTGGAACCCTGGGGGAGTGAATGCCCGAACTTTGAGGAATGAACGCCCGATAGACTCCTAATTTGCGTGTTTCTCTGCAACTCAGTATTCCAGTAACAACTGGTATGGCCTCAAAAGTGTTTCCGTTTAATCTGCCAAACCGGTCCGGAAGGGGGCCAAAGCGAGATTTCATCACCCACATGCCAGCTGATTTGCAGGATCCAAACCCTTGTGCAGCAGATTGGTTTTGGACGGTATTCCTAAAAAATACACCAGCATAGACCCCAGATAGCACACCACGGCTACGAGCCATGACGCAGCATTATCACGATGATGTAGACAGCACCATGATGATACCACAGCCACTGAGCATGGTGCGCTAAACAGACGCGCATACAACGTCCTAATGAGCTCAGCAGCATAATGATGATGTTGAAGGCATCATGCTGATACACCAGCCACGAACAAGTCCGCGCTACATATCTTGCAGGAAAAGGCAAAGACGACGTCCTGATGAGTTCGACAGCATCATGATGATGCGGACAGCATCATGATGATGCGCGCAGCATCATGGTGATGCGAACAGCATCATGCTGATGGTAAAGGCAGCATCAGGATGATACCACAGCCACGAACCATCTTGCAACAGCGTAATGAAATTCAGCATCATCCTGATGTTGACAGCATCACGGCGCCACTACACCCACAAACCAAAACACAAGCTGATGAATGACGTGGTTGGGAACATCATGACGATACACCAGCCACGAACCGTTACGCCCGAACAGCATCCACCAGCACCCCAAACTGCATGCTCCACCACCACCCCAAACTGCATGCCCCCTAGCACCCGGCCGTCAAGCTCGCAAAACAGCATCCACCAGCACCCCAAAACGCATGCCCCCTAGAACCACCAGCACCCCAAACTGCGTGCCCCCAGCACCCGGCCATCAAGCTCGCAAAACAGCATCCACCAGCACCCCAAACCGCATGCCCCCTAGGACCGGCCGTCAAGCTCGCAAAGCAGCATCCATGAGCACCCCAAACTGCATGCCCCTAGCACCCGGCCAGCTCGCAAAACAGCATCCACCAGCACCCCAAACTGCATGCCCCGTAGCACCCGGCTGTCAAGTTCGTACAGCAGCATCCACCAGCACCCCAAACTGCATGCCCCCTAGCACCCGGCCGTCAAGCTCGCAAGCAGCACCAACTGCACGCCCCTTGGCACCCGGCCGTCAAGCTCGCAAAGCAGCATCCACCAGCACCCCAAACTGCATGCCCCTTAGCACCCGGCCGTCAAGCTCGTACAGCAGCATCCACCAGCACCCCAAACTGCATGCCCCGTAGCTCCCGGCTGTCAAGTTCGCAAAGCAGCATCCACCAGCACCCCAAACTGCATGCCCCCTAGCACTTGGCCGTCAAGCTCGCAAAGCAGCATCCACCAGCACCCCAAACTGCATGCCCCCTAGCACCCGGCCGTCAAGCTCGCAAAGCAGCACCAACTGCATGCCCCTTAGCACCCGGCCGTCAAGCTCGCAAAGCAGCATCCAAGCAGCACCCCAAACTCGCATGCCCCTTAGCACCCGGCCGTCAAGCTCGTACAGCAGCATCCACCAGCACCCCAAACTGCATGCCCCTTAGCACCCGGCTGTCAAGTTCGCACAGCAGCATCCACCAGCACCCCAAACTGCATGCCCCCTAGCACCCGGCCGTCAAGCTCGCAAAGCAGCATCCACCAGCACCCCAAACTGCATGCCCCCTAGCACCCGGCCGTCAAGCTCGCAAAGCAGCACCAACTGCATGCCCCTGAGCACCCGGCCGTCAAGCTCGCAAAGCAGCATCCACCAGCACCCCATACTGCATGCCCCTTAGCACCCGGCCGTCAAGCTCGTACAGCAGCATCCACCAGCACCCCAAACTGCATGCCCCTTAGCACCCGGCCGTCAAGCTCGTACAGCAGCATCCACCAGCACCCCAAACTGCATGCCCCTTTAGCACCCGGCTGTCAGGCTCGCAAAGCAGCATCCACCAGCACCCCAAACTGCATGCCCCCTAGCACCCGGCCGTCAATCTCGCAAATCACTTTCCACTCTTTATTAGAAGTTAGAACCCCTATAGCTTTCAGCTATCTGGGGAACAAAACGTTAAACCGATTGACCTCAGGCGCGGTACGAGTCCACTGGCGCGCCGCCGAGTCGCTCGAACCGGGACCCGACGCCACCGCGCGCCTCCCGGAAGTGGGATTTGGGGGTGCAGATGTTCTATCTCCGGAGATTGTATTTCCGAGAACATTCGGCCCAGGATATTTTTGTATTATTTATCTTCCTTAGGTGCACCTATTTCCTTTTCTGGGTGCAGACAGCAGCATAAATCAAGGGTTTTCTTTAAACAACACAAAATCCGCAAAGCCGCCAACGCCGCTGTTTTTGTTCGTTTTCAGCCCAGATGAGCGCCGAGCGCCGAGCGCCCCGATATTGCAATTTGAATCGGTCGGGTTCTTGGAGTCTTGTCCCGTGGATTCAATGGGGCTAAGCGGGGTTGGACTCTCCGGGTCTTGAATGGTAACTTGAGTTGCTGCTCATTGTTCAAAGGCTCTGTATGCCGCTGTTTGTATATATTTGAGGTTCGACCAAACATATCCAGTGTAACCCCCCTCCCTCTTTTCCATCCATTTGAGGTTCGTTCAGCGCGAGATTCCTCACACCCAAGGGGCACCGCAAGTGTTGACCGGTGCTATGGGCCTGTTGTTGGATTTTGGATGGTCTGACTGACATGAAGGTGTCTCTAGTTCAGACAAATCAGTATTGCACTTGTTTTCCTCCCCCCCGCCCCCTGGCATGTTTGCAATTCTTTTCGTGATTTTTCTCGGACGCCCAACACCCAGACAGTCTTGGGGGTTTTCCAAGATTCATGACTTCGAATTGGATGGTTTTAAAGTGAAGCCAAGAGGAAGCATCCCATTTCGGGGTGCCCCCATATTGAAAGCCATCCGCACAGGAAATTCCTGGCTGTCAGCAAAAGAGGCAAACCCTCAGACCGAACCGCAGGACCGCTTTGGTTCGTCGCAAGAGCTGGACACCGTGGTGGAGCAGGAGGCGCGGGCGGAGGCGAAGGCGAAGCAAGCCGCGCACGAGGCCGGGGAGCCGGACGGATTTGGAGGGCGCCTGCGTGCCGAAAACACGGGCAGCGGGCCCTAAAAGCCGATTGCTTCCCCCCTTTGGGCCGTTTTTCCGTGGGCATTTGTCATTGGATTTTTCATTTTTCCGTTCCTACCTGGCTTAACGGGTCAACAAGAGTCCTTCCATGGGAAGCCAAGATATTTGGACATGGCCGGGTTTCCTTTGGGCGCGGAGCCCGGACCACGCTTCGGCGGAAAAAAGAAGGCGCCAAGCCGGGGGCCCAGGCGGAGGACCCGGAGGAAGTGACCCTGGGTGCGGAGGCCCAGCGCCTTGAAGGGGCCCGAAATGGACATCTGTGGGGCTTCACATCCACCCGCCCACTTTCCAGGTTCCGACCTGTGGAGAACAAAGTGGTTCATTGCAAGTAGGGGCTTGGAATTGCAAGATGGGTTTCTTTCCTTTGGTTGCCCTTTGAACCGACCGCAGAAAACGGACACTGCACACAAACACTTTTGAATGGGGTTGGAGCCCTTTTTGGAAAGGAGAACAATGGAAACCCAAAGGGACCACTTGGAGGCAATGACTATGAGGGGCGAACGTTCTTCTGTGATCACGACGAAATTGTGTGAAAGAACCCCGCAACCGCACACGAATGATCTTGCTCTGTCCCCTCCCTCCCCCCTGCCCTCCCAAACCTCCACCAACGCTTTTTGCTGGGCAAAATAAGGGTTATATAGATGTACATATATATATATATGCACAGATTCCCATTGTTGGGGTAGTGGTCTGTGGGTAGTAAACATCCTCTTCAGCGCTCGGTCTTTCGCGCTGCAGAAGCCGTGTATGACACCGCGCCCATCCACCAGCGCAGATCCTGGCCGGCGCCTCGAATTCGGAGAGGAGTTGGTTGAAATGCCTGGCCGGATGAATCTCCACCGTTTTGGATAATGGACGGGATGGGAGGAGTGGCATTTGGAGCTGTGCATTGGGAGAGGAAACGCAGAGTTCTGGACATGGTTTGGACTTTTGAACCTCCGGAGCTTTGGTTTTTTGGGCCACTTATGTCTTGGCTGGAGCCTGGAGCATAGAAATGCAGGACTGAAGGGGATTAGCACAAAAGGCACGTGACATTTGTGGCCAGGTGGATCTCGGTACTGGTCTAGCTCAAGGCTTCTTTTTTTTGAAACGCCCTCAGAGGGCATCCTTGGCAAATGACGCCCCACCCGGGTCACCAGCTGACCCGGATATTCACATTCACCGGCTGATTCGGAACATGTGGCTCAAAAATCGGCGACCGAAACGGATCTTCGACAACCTGCGGTCCCCTGGTTTCATTTTGAGCCACACCCATGTGAGGCAGGGTGTCAAAAATGGGTACCCAAAAGGCCCAAAATGGAACCCAAGGACCGGGTCATACCAAGGACCAACATCTGCGGTCTGGTCGAATTTTGTCCCATCGGAAGCGGATTTCGGGGCCGAGGCCCTGGCCCCCGGCCGCGGCGCCGCGGAGCATGGCCGGGGAGCGGCGGAAGAGGGCGAGGGACGGCTTCAACGTGCAGGACGCGCGCCGATGGCCCAAACTTTGACTTTGGAGGAACCCTTGGATGGACAAAAGAGGGAGTTGCTGTTTGTCTTCCATGGAACAAGTGGTTTTTCGTATTATGTTCCCCCCTTGGTTTTAAAGGGAATTTATCACTACTGGGCACATTTTCATTTTTTGCAGGGACGAAAAACAAATGGAGCTTGTTCCCCAAAAAGGGTTGCTTCAATTGGGTCTGAGTCCTCTTTGTTTTAACCCCTTGACCTTTCTTGAGGGACAAGGCACCTGACATCTTGTTGACACCTATAACGACCTCACACGACCTCACCCCAAATGGTGGTTTATCCCCAAACCACCTTATTTCAGGCTGGTGAAATATTATAATTCACCCAGATTATATGAACGAACAAACTTAAGGCAAACCAATTTTCCCATGTTTTTTTTGGGAAACAACGAATGTTGTTGACTCCCTTTGACCCCTCTGCTAGAGTTGGAAATTCAAATGAACCAAAAGCGGTGTATTTTTTGGCTGATGCTCAGTCCAGAAGGTCAGTTTATGGTCCATATGGGCACATGGATCAAATGAACGCGTGAGTATGGGGGATCTAATTTTCCCCAGGGTTGGTTTGGTGATTCAATCACCAGAATCTTTGGTTTAGACTAGGCTGGGTCGGTTGGTTTAGGTTGGCTTGGGGTTTGTACGGGGGCGGTTTCATGTGGCCATAATTTTTTTCCAAGCAATCTCAAAAGTGATTGGAGCACCTGAATCCCCTAAATGAAGTTCACCAAAGGGTCCCTCAGTTCACCTGCAATTGGCCATCCACACCCTGTGGCTCATGGCTGGACTTTGATATTCCACCGAAAGGGGTTCAATACCCCCAATACACCTGACTTTGATATTCACCATCCACACCCTGTTGCGCATGGCTGGACTTTAATATTCGCCCAAAACAACAATCGGGCTTCCGATACTCAGTTGTCCAAACCCAACCTTTTAACCTTTCGTTTTTTGCTTTTGGTCCATTTTTGGTAAAGGCCCCAAAAGGTCAACCGTTTCCGGGTCTTTTGGGCGACTGAGCATACCCCAGCCCACCGCGGAAGCTCCAGGAGCTGCTCTTTGGCGACGCCCTGGCGCAGCGGGACTTCAGCGACCCCTCGGTGGAAGGCTGGGGTGTTGGGCGGAGTCGTGCCGTGTGTCCGGGGTGGGTGGTGGGGAGACGCGCGCGCGGTGGGGCTGGGAAGGATGGGTGTCGTCAGGGGGTGTTTGCTTGGCAGCTTACTTTCGCCCCCAGCCACGCATTCACACCGGAAGTCCACGATGCTTGCGGTTGGCTCGAGCCTAGAGCAGAATCGTTTTTTTTTTTTTTTTTTTTTTTTTTTTTTTTAACCAGGACTACATGGTTTATGAACCTGCCAAATTCATGGTTTTGAACGGGGTTCTTGAATTTGGCCCAAGGAGCCAGACCAAGACATTTTCCCCCAAGAACGATCCTGGCAGAAGACCTCTTGCGGGTATCTTCAAAGATCTTCCTTGCGGGGGACCGGTCCAAGAAACCAGCCACGGCAAACTCTACAAGTAGCTTCTTGGAGAGTTTCATTTTTTCCGGAAACTTGGAGCCTGTGGCAGGATTCTTCAAGCCAATTCCCCTTTTGGCGGTGAACAAAACGTCACCTTCTTCAACTCACTTAATGCTCAACTGGGCAATATAGGGAACTATGTTTTACGTATCTCTGGTGTTAAGGGGAATCAAGTTGGTTTATCTCCTTTTGGTCTCAACGCCAGCCATTGGTCCATCAAACGCAGCTCTCCGATTTGGGTTGTGTCTGTTTTTTTGGTTGCGCGTTGGTTTAACTTCAGGGTCCAAATCCCTGATTCTGCAGCTCTCAAGGGAGCCACCCGGGTTAAGCCAAATCCCGGATACAAGGCTGAAGGAGAAGCAACCTATTTCGAGGAGCCAAATTTGAACCCATTTTGAGGAGCCAGACCTGGTTGTGTCTTTTTGAGGGAGACCAAAAAGGAAGACCGCAATTTGTGTTAAAATTTGTGGTCTCCGAATTCCCATTTTGACGCGCAACACTCATTCTTTTGAAGCCAGACAAACTTATTCTTGCCGTTTCATCTGAGAGCAGGGTTTGGGGCTTGTGGGGGGGGGGAGAAATTCTCCTAAAAACTTTGGGGCGGGGGGGGGGGGGCTAAAAAAATTGGGGGGGAGTCCCTGAAAAACGGGAGCCACACCCATCCTTTTTTTTCTTGCCCCGACGCTCGCAGACGTGGACCAGCTGAGCCCTGGCTCCAGCCTCAGCGGCTGGGGCCGTGGGGACTTCCGCGCCCAGCTGCGGGCCCGGGGCCCCGAAAAGGTCAAGAAGGTCGAGTTTCGGCCTCTTGTTTTTCTATCAGGGTCAGTGGGCAGCTGGTTTCCAGCCCCCAAAAAGAATTCGAAAGAACATCATTTTTTTTGCTACCAGATACACGAACTCACTTCCCCAGCTCTGAGACCTGCTGTTCTTTGGGTCAGGCATTTTTGGTGGCAAACAACAAGAAATGAGTTGGGCTCAAAAGCTGAGAGACCAGGACAACCATTTCCCCTCTGTATTTCAGACGCGCCAGCAGCAGGGACCCCATCAAACGCGGGAACCGAGGACCTGCAGAGCTTGCTGCGAGCAGTGGAGGGCCGAGAATGGGAGGCGCGGGTTTCTTCCCGACAGTCCGGAGGGTAAGGTTTGGGCGGGGGTGGCCGAAGGCTTGTGATCGGCTGGTGGGAACCCCAGAAGTGAAACGCTCTGGTTGATGCCCCTATTGGTGGCTCTTCAGGTGGGAGCACCCCCGAAAATTGAGCCGGAGTCAAAATTAGAATTAGGTCGGTAAGCCGTATGGAGATAAGTCCAGCGTCTTTATCCATGCGAGCCTCTGAAAGGCTTGCTTCAGGCATGTTTTCTCGTGACCAAGCCTCGGTGCTCCGGGCGTTTTGGGATTGATTCTCGGTTGCGCTTCGGTGTGACATGAGCAAACAACTGAGAACTACCCTCCCACCAGCTAACATGGAAGTGCAAAGACCCCTGTAGAAGGACTACTTTCCTCTTGGAAAGGGCCATTTGCACTTCCATGTTAGTTGGTGAGAGGGTACTCGGAAATGAACAATGTTTGCTCAGCTATTTTCGGCTTGTGTATGTAATGAATTGCCGGTCTGTCTGACCAGCTGTGATGGCCAGGTGCCCGACGCATTCTGGGTCTTTGTTTGGGCGCGTTATGTCGACCATGGATGGCGGATTGTTGGCCGGAGGATGTTGACCCCTGCAAAGTAAAGGTTCTCCTTTTGAATGGGTCACCCCCCCCTATTCGGCTTATTTAATCATCCAGAAAACAATATGAACCCTGCGTGAACGGAAAGCAGCACGAGCTCACTTCACGGCCGCACACGCCCGCTTTGGTATCAACAGACTAGGGCGTATTTGCAATGTCTTTCTTGGGGAGCACCCTCAAAAAACAGTTGATTGGTAACATGAATCCAAACATGTGAGACGTCCACCAAAGGGTCCATGCCCATGTCTGAAAGGAACCAGACTTTGGATTATGTGCTTTAGGAACCAGCTTCTTGGTGTCCCGTTCGGAACATACAGTTTTTCTGCCAGGCGACACTCCTGCAATCTCCCTCTCCCCAGAAATTTTGAAGCACACCCACAAAACCCGTTGCTTAACCCCATCGCCGGTCTTGTGCTCATTTGGTTCCCACGCCGCCTGGGAAAGGGGGGTTCCCGCCGCCGAAAGTGGATGGATACCAAGGACTCGGAAGTGCTCTGGGTGCTGAGGCTGGCGCTCCGGAAGCAAGAAGGCCCGCCAGAGAGCGGGAGAAATCACCCCCAAGCAAGTTGCTTTGTTGGGGGGGGGAGGTTGGGACTGCTGAACGGAGGAACTTCAGTCTCTTGGTAGACTGCTCTCCCAAAAAGCAACCTGGGTGCCCTCCAAACCATCAATCAGAGGAAGCTGATTAAAGCGAAGCCCACAGGGACACTTCTCAGGGCTGTCCTATCTTGGGAAGCGACCAATACCAACGATCTCCTTCAAAAAGCTCTTGCGAAGGGGCAGGGGGTGGCTTCGCGAGAAACGGCAAGTCATGTCTTGTGGCTTTGCGTGTCAACATAGGGATCCCACAAATAGTGGATATCCTATGTTTTTCTTCCTGAAACTAGTTCCCCCCCCAAAAAAAAATAAGAAGAAGAGACAATAGTCCCGTCGAGGTTTCGGCCAAGGGAAAGCTCTGATATTTGACCGCCGTTGATTCATGACTGTTTGAAATTACAGTCAATTGAACCCGTGTTTGGGCTCGGATTGGGTTTCCCCTTTTCGGGTTTGTAGACGAGTCTCCCTGGAAAGGCCGGAGTTTTCTCCGGGCTTGATGTTGAGGACCGAGAAAAGTCGGCAGTCTTGCTCTGCCAGGGTTCCATCTTTAGCCGGCGTCAGCCTTGGATTTGGGGTGTCGTGGACTGTCCTCTCAAAAAGGCCCGTCCACTTCCATTGGAAAGATATCCTGGTCCATTTGCGTGCATCCCAGCTTACCTGGACTGTGGATGACTTTTCCTGATGGTACCCTTTGGTTTGGCGGTTTTAAAAGAGATGCCAAGCTTCAGATATGAACTCGGTGTGAGATTGACGCTTTGGGTTGGGGTTTCAGGGGTGCTCAGTTTTCGGCATGGAGACTAAGGGGCTTCAAGGAGAGGTCGGTATTTTTGGTTTCTCTTTAAGTAGGGGCACTTTCCAATCCCATTGGTTGGGAGGCTTTCCATTCGTTTCCTTGAAACAATCCATAAAATGGGTGAGGGTTTCTCGGATTTTCCGGACAAATCAATGGCTCAAAGACTTTCGGTTCCAATCCCGAAAGGTTTCCCTGGACATGGTCGCAGAGTGAGGGAAATCCATTTCAAGCTTCCCTTGGCGAAGCTCTGGATGCTACGAAGCTATGGCGAGGCAAACATCTGATGGCCCGCCGAACATGCGGCTTCTTTTCGGACTGGGGCCTGCCAGCTATTGATGCTGGCATCTCTGGACGCCTTGGCACCAACACGAGGAAGGAAGCGTGGTGAGATGCTCTTCAGGCGGAGGATCTAAGTGGCATGTAAGACTGTCGAGGCCTTGTGCCATGCCAGATCAATTTTTGACTTTGTTGTGAGAATCAATCAATTGCTTTTGTTGGGGGGTACACGCTCAGGCAGATAACTTCCTACATCTCTGCCCAACACAAAGAGATGACGGTAGAAGCGGATTTCCATCCTAGACTTTGGGTTGAAGAATGATTGTGCAACCCCAAAGCACGATGTCTAAAGGAAAGTCCGCAGTGGACTCACCAACTTTCCCACGTCCGGCAATTCAGTAATCCCATATTATACTGTGGATGGACGAAATCCATTTCGCACTGCTTTGAAACCTTGGTTGAACCCATTGTTTGCTGGTATTTTACAGTGGAGTCCTTCAAAAGCCCAGGGTTTTTTCCGGGTGGCGCGATTTCGGATTTCTGATTTTGCAACCATCCGCAGTGTTGACCGTGACTCGGTAATTGTTTCAGAGGAGCTGCACCATGGTTGAACCTTTTTTTTTGTTGGTATTCACAGAAAAACCAGGGTTTCTTGGGTGGTGCCACATGGATTTCTCGGATTTCCTTCCACAGAAATGACCGTGACCAGTGGAGTCCTCCAAAAGCCGGGGTTTTTCCAGGCGGAACGACATGGATGTCTCGGATGTCACAATCAGCAGAAATTCCCTCTGTGAGCTGCGGAGGTGCCGCTTTGCTGCGGCCTTCCTGCCTGAGATATGCGCTGCTCGCCGGGGGCCCCAAAGCAGATGTCGAGGTCGCCTCAGGCGACATGGGTACTTTGCAGATTCAGGGGAGTACCCAGAAAGATCCAAAAAGGGGGGAGGTCTCCCAAAGGAATATCCTTCAACAGTTTTGGAGGTTCGGAGATTCGTCTGCAGTTCTGTTTGCTGCATGTATTCTGCGAGGCACCGATTTGGAGGGCAGGGAACCAGAGCGATTTCACCCGCGCTAAAGGTCCCTTACTTGAATATATATATATATATATATTATTATATATATTATTATATATATATATATAATTTTCCCCATTGTAAACCAACTGCAAACCAACCGACCCATGGCCCATGATTCCAAATCCATGACGTAAAGCTCTGAGATGGTTTTGGTTGCCTCCATGAGTCAGCCCACAGCGAGGGTCATGAGCTTGTTTGAGGGTATTCTTTCTAGGGTTTGTCACTCTTGTCCCCTATCACCGTGCAGACCGTTCCATGGTTTCAAGCAACCCACGACGAGACGCGTGTCGCCGAGGCCCGGCACGGGTTCCAGTCGCTGCCGGACACCTGAGTTGAGGGCCGTCGGTTCAACGCCGCTCAGCGGCGAGGCTTTGGTTTTCTCCGGATTTTTTGAGGGGGAACACTGCCTTGCCGTTGTAGGATCAAGAAAGGGACTTCAGCCTGAGTGATAGGAAAATATTCAAATACTTTGCAATGTCAATAAGGGACCGTGGCTTGGAGCAGGGTCGTTCGATGGAGCAACGCCACTTGGCATGGGATGCCATGATCAGGATGGATAGGATATGACCATGACCCATTCAACACAGATACCCCTCCCTATGCCATACACCGCGGACCGAGGACCGCAGATACCCCTCCAAACTTCAATCACAAAAGCGGATTGGGGATGTGGCCGTGGGTCAACACCAAAGGTACCATTTTGGGGTAGGTGAATTCACCACCCATTTTAGAACCTATTCTAGTGGGCATTTTTGATGTTCACTGGGGGTACGGGCTTTTGGTTTTGACCCATGGCCAAGTTTGTCCGTGGGTTTGCAGAGCTCCTTAAACGATCTACATTTTGCCATTGAAACATGTTGCCTTTTCCAACACCCAAATAAAGGGAAACCACCATGTACAAGTTGCAATGTTCAGGTGTATAATGTGGGTATGGGTCAAAATTAAACCACCAGGAATTGGACCCCAAGTTTTGGTCCATGTTACCACTTACCAGGGCAACCCATTGGCGTGCCATATGGGATCCCTCGTTTGTCTCATGACAAGGTCCTTCCCTGAGCTGCAGCTGCCGCCGCCTCGAGGGGTTTGTTGCGAGCGGTTTGGATTCGGTCGGGCCAGCCTTTTTGTTTGTTGCGGTGCTTTGAGTCACACTGGGATTTGGAGTCTGGGTCAAAATCAATCCCAAAACCGCAGGTTTTAGTCTTTGGTTCAATTTATCTGGGTTCCATTTTGGGGTGCGCTTTTTTGACCCACAGCCATTTGAAGCACTGGTGCGGGGTCCATTTGCGGCGTGGTGGAGTGGAAGCATGAATTTTACTTAGGGCGTCATTTACATCCATTTGCTTCTCGAACTCGGGGACGCCTCTTTGGATTTAACGGGACACCAAAAGGACCCAGGGGGCCCCAATGTTGAGAAACACCCACACGGGTGCGGCTCAAAATGAAAGAGCTAGGGCAAACCGCAGGTTTTAGTCTTGGGTTCCATGAACCAAGGTTCCATTCTGGTTTCCATGTTTCTGAGCCACAGCCACATGGGGCTTTGTGCCCACCGTCTCTGCTGAAAAAGAGCCTCGAAGCTTGGCCGAGGCTGGCGATGCTCCAATTCCAGGCGCCGGTTGAGTCTGTTGAGTGCGGTGGTTGAAAGTAAACCGGGGATCTAAGGGACGAAGGAAATCAATTAGATGATTTATATCTTGCAGATGTTTCATATCTTGCGCATTTTGGGTACTTCTTGTTTGCCTTGGTCTTGATTTGTCATGTAAGTTAGTCAGGGAAGGGGACCCGCCGATTTGGGAGACCTCGTTCAGAGGTGCGCCGGGAGAAGATCGGCGAGGATGGCGCGACGGTCGAAGACAAAAGCGAGGAGGGCATTGTGCAGGCCGGTCGCGAGGTGAAATTTGCGGAGGGCGCCGCGCATTTTTTTTTGTTGGGGGAGGATGGGCGGGGGGGGGGGGGAACCCCAGGAGAGAAGAGGAGTTGGACTGTTTCGTTTGTAGGGACTTTTTGAATGGCTTGAAGAGAAAGCAGGAGGAAGCTGAAGGTTACTGCAAGAGCCTGAAATTATGAGCATGGAGTTGTGGGGGTACTTGAAAACCAGTGAAGTCATGGTCATAGAAAGATGATAGTAATGATTTAGACCCTCATAAGGAGCCCATTTTGGCGAACGTCAGAATCAACTTTGGAGGGATATCGGTGTATGTTTATCGAAGGTACCTTTTTCAGGTTGGTTTTAACGGAGAACCAAAACGAACACTGAAAACCAATTTTTGGGTCCATTCCCCTAGTTTTGAGACGCACCCAGTTAACCTGTTGCAGTCGACTTCTAGAAGACTGGCAAACCCTGCAGCGTCTTCACGGAGAACCCTTGAATGCCCCAAATCGGGGGTTCCACAGTTTCTGCTCTGCATCTTGGTCAACCTTCTCACATCGGCTATTATATTCCAAGGTTGACAGCCTGAAAGGTTGGCGGACGACCTCTCGTAAATGATGTGTACTGAAGGGCCATTCCGATATGGTGTTTTAGGGGCTTCGAAGAAAGGCACAATGTTTGTCCATTTGGTCGGAGCAAAGCAAAGAACAACCTACCTAGACCCCCACACGAGCTCAAATTTGCTCATACGAGCACTTTTTTAGGAAACAGGTGCAATTTGAGCAGGAATCTACTTCCTCGAAATTTGGATGCTTTGGAGTGTGTCAGTCGTGCTCCGTGTAGCAGGGGGTTGGGGCAGGAAATTGCTCGAGCTGTGCTGTTCGGGCAACAAACGCGTGTTTAGTGGAAGCCTGTTTTGAGGGTTCGTAAAAGCAACCACACGCGTTGTTTCAACATCTTGTTTGGACCTGCACAACTTGGCCCACACCTGGTTTTTGCCAGGAACATACCACAACTATGCCAAGCTGCTAAGCCTATGCTGTGCATATGCTACATGTATGCTGAAGACTCCCGGACGATGCTACGCACAAGCTAAACACACTAGACATATGTAGGCACATGCCAGACACAGAGAGTGGACAAGAACTAGACATATGCAAGGAATTGGCCAGTATTTGGCCCGCTGACCTGTCTTCTGAGATGCAAACCACCAAATGGCAGATATTGGGCGTGTGTGCGTGTGTGCGCGTGTGCATACACATTATATATATATATATATATGTATCTATTTCTGCATACACAAACATACCTGCATACATACAGAGAGTATTCAATGCCTTTTTAAGTAGGCAATGGGTACACGAAAGCGGCAAACAATCCACATTTCCACCGTTCCAGTGCTTTGGGATCCCATTTATGGCGTCAAGAGTCTCGGTAGGTGTCAAACATTGGGAGACCCCCCAAAGATATCGACTTTCCTTTTGGACCTTCCTTGAGAGCAACCTGCAAAAGGGCATCCAAGTTTCAATTCCACCTTTCGCCCAAGCTTTTTGGGATTTGCCGCAACCCCCCTTCAAAAAACCTGGGGGAACCTTTTGCCCTAGATTTGCTGTAGCCCGTTTCAAAACCCCAGGGGACCTCAGAAAGCCACATCCAAATCCCCCCAGCAGCGAGAGGGGGTGAACCTCCTGGAGCTCAAGCGGCTCATGCAGCACCTCAACGAGGGCAAGCCGGTGGCGGACCGCGAGGCGGGGCTTTGCAGGGGGGATGGGGGGGTGGGGGGAGGGGCGTGGGGCCTGGGGGGTGCTTCCGGGGCCCGTTTTTTTTGGGGTCGGAGAAAAAGGGGCGACCGAAAGGATGGTTCATGACTCTTGCTTTTTTTGGGGTACCCGGATTTTGATAGAGAGGGCAGTGTCCCCAGCGCGTGTGTTTTCCATATAAAACCACTGTTTTCCCAATATGCCAAAATAAAGGAAAAACGCTCGGAAAACACTTTCTGGGGACTCAGGTATCTCTCAACGGACTCTGTGGGAAGGAAGGCTTGGTGGATGGCTTGACGGCAATGTGTCTAATGTGATGTGGTCTTATGTGTGCAAATGCAGCCTAAACAGTCATCAACGCATCCGCGCGTTTACTTCTGCAGATTTCAGCAAGTAGCAATTCCCAGTACTCAGCCCTTGGCTGAAACTTCACTAGGTAGCCATGCAGGCCGAGGATATGACCTTCGAACACCTTAAGGAGGTTGTCGACGGGCTGATTTGTCGCCCGTGCGACGGAGCAACCGCTAGGCACCTTCAATATCGTCACCTTTCCCATGGAAGAGATCTCGAGCACTGACAACCCCCTGGTGCATTGCTTCGACCTCATCGCTGACCTCGAGGGTGAAGTGAACATTAGTGAGTTGGGCCGTCTCTACAAGCAAGCCTGCGAGAAGAGTGACTTGCAGCTGATGCCCCCCCCCGTTTGGCTCGCGGGAGTGTGTGCCGGCAAACACCAAGTTGCAATTCGTCATCACGACCCGCCTCGATGGCAAGAAGCCCGTCTTGAAGCACTTCACCTTCCCAGACAAGGTCAAGCCATGCTTGTTTCAGAAGATGGTGTATGGCCAGGCGCACAAGGCGAAGTACATGATGCCCGTTCCAAAAGCTGGCCGCAAAATCCTGCAGTCTACATCACCAGACGCAAGAACTTGAAGAACATGTTCAAGGGCATTCGGTACTACGTAGTGGACGAGTTCCACCGCGGTAACCACAAGTGCACGAAGAAGACCTTGACGTCTGCGGAGAAGTCTCGCTTCAAGAATGTGCGGACAAACATGTTGGAGGTGTTCAACTCCTGGATTCGCAGGAAGAACTTCGTCCTAAATGGCATGAACGCGTACAGTCACAGGTTCTGGGTGCAGGAGTCCATCCATTTTTGGAACAACAACCTTCAATCCATGCCGGCCATCGGATCCCGCAGGAGCACCGCCAGCACTCGCAAACGCCCCGCTTCCTCATCCTTGACTCTCAAGCGTCCGGCCGCTGCCGCCAAAAAGTGAGCACATCCAGAAGAAGGTCAGCTCAGAATGCCCGCCCGGAGTATGCGCAGAGTGGCACGGTGAGCCCAGGGAGACATACTCCAACAGTTTGAGGCGTGCGCAAGCAGATGAGACGAAGGAAAGCTGTTTGCGAGTCTGCGGTATAAAAGCAGCAAGAATGCGTGAGGGCGGTCCAACCTACAGAAACTCAAGGAAACCGAGAAAAACAAAAAAACCTCGAGAAAAACTACAAAAGCAAGAAAAACTCAAAAAACCTCGGGAAAAACCAAAAAACAAAAACAACTAAAAACCCAAAGCCCCCAGGGAAATGTTCAAGTGCCAGGCTGGAAACCTTTTGCCAGGGTCTTTGTTTTTTTTTGGGTTTTTTGGTTTTTCCCGAGGTTTTTTTGAGTTTTGTAGCTAGTGGACAATAAGAAGGTTCTCTGCTCAAGTGACAGGGGTCACAATGCATCAATGTGTGGGCTGCTTGCGGTCTGCGCAGTGTCCCAGCCCTGAAACCATCATACAGCAGGAATGTGCAAAAACCCAGCGCTGGGGACACTGCTTTCTGCTTTGATACTTGCAGAGCAACGATTGGTGGCTTAGGGCCATGAAGGAACGTTAGCCACCCTCGCCATTGCAATAATTCTTTGAGTGCCTGAAAGGCTCGCATGTTGAGGGACCCGCTCTCAAAAATTTAGTTTTTGAGGGATGCGTTCGGGCAATCTTGAGGCGGTCACTTTACGGACCCAGTTTCTGGGCGAATGGCAGAAAGTAGTTCACGAGGTCCCTCCCATGACGCAGGTTTTTTGGGGGCCCAAGTTGTCTCACTCACCCACGAATCGATACGCATGTCTCCAGCTGGAAACGGACTATCCAGAATGGTTGCTTTCCTTTGGCTGGCTCTTGTGAAACCAAGAAGGCCTGGCGTCCTTCTGGTCCGCCTGCTATCTCGAGCTCCGTTGCAGCTTGTCCAAACTGTCCAAACAACAATCCAGATCGGTGTCGTTTGGTGCAGGTGTACTCTGTGGTGCAGGAGGCCTGGAGTTCCGATCTTGCTGGTTCGCTGGGCAGGACATTTTCGGGAATGACCCCCCAACAAAAGCCATCCCTTCTGGCTATCTTCGACAAAATGTTTTGGAATCCTTTGGTCTACCTTGTTCCCAGCCAGGTTTGGTTTGGGTTCTTTTGGCTGCCCTACTAATGCAGGGCCCAAATGCTTATGTGCCAGTCGCTTCGCTGCGACCCCCGAAGGCAACAACCGAATTCCCACCATTCTTCCCCAGACGGGTCCAAATCTCAGCAGAAACCTTTGACCATTCGGGTTCTCAGACCCGCAGCTTTTTTTTGGACAGCGCCACGTCTTTGGGTGGCGCCTTTCCAAAAAACGTCCGGAGGCGGTGCTCCTGAGCGGGGCAGAGACCATCAGCCGGAAGGATCTAATGCGGGGCCTCGGCGCGTGGTACGCGAACGTCCAGAGGAGAAAGCGGGCCCATGAAGTTGCTCCGTGTTTTGTTGGCTCGCCACCTGGGGTGTTAGTAGACTGTGTAATCAAAGGAAATCCGCCCATTTTTTTAATGAGAGCGGTTTACTCAACTCAAGCAGCCAGATACCCATATCGATTGTATGGAGGAACCCTGTTGGCACGACTTTTTGAAGAGCCTGGTTTGATAAGTGAGGAGCGCTCAAATCGCGGCCATTTCGCAAGATACTACTGTGGTTTTAGCAGTGTCAATATGGGCTTTGTGTCAAACTAGGAACCCCTAAAACGGAGTCTTTCCTTCGGGATAGTTGATATGGCTTAGGACCCCCTTCAAAACCGCCCCAACGCACTCTCACCAAAAGACACCGTGTGATTTTGTCTTTTTTGGAGGGTAGCCCCCAACCATTTTGAGGGTAAAGCGATCAAATCGGTGGGAGTTTGACAGAATCGCGGACCTGGAGAACCAAAGGGACCGATGTGACATCCAATCTCAAGCCGGCACCTCTCAAGCAGCCGGCTTCGCGCAGGAGCGATTCTCCGCCCTCGGTCTTCCTGCACGCCTGGTCCTCCGCGTGGGGAACCCCGAAGCTGACTGGGGGGGTCACTGGCATCTTCCATTTTGCCGCTCTTGTACACCCTTCTATTTGGGTGTGCGTGTGTTGCTTGGAACCCCTTTAGGGTTAATTCAAAGGGACACCATAAGGAACACCGCCGCTTTTGGGGTTCCTCAATTTGACGCACATCCATTTGTCCAGACGTTGGTCCTTTGCCAGGCTGCTGTATGGCAAAGAGTACCACACAACCCTGATGGAGAAGCTCAGGCCAGGGTGGGTACCGTTTGGTTTACTCCCACGAAGACAACAGTTGACAGGTAGAAAGGCCGCTTCAAGAGGAAATCAAGGAGTCCCTTTGAGACAGAAAGCAATTGGCCTTTGTTTTGCAACTGAAGCCAACACTCGTTTGGTCAAGCAACGCCCCGCCTGGTGTTTGGTTTGGCAGGTTGGGTAATCCTATGTTGGGAAAAACAACAAAAGCTCATCCGAAGGGGGGGGCTTCTCGAGAAACCCCACCCAATCGAAGCCACTAGCCAAGTCCAATGTGGGTTTGTGTCAAAATAGTTATGCAGCAAATGGTGGTTTTGCATTGGGTTTCGCCTTAAGCTAAGGCAAAAAGAAAGGGTACCCTTCACAAAAAACGCAACCCCCTTTCTGCTTCAGAGATTCCCATAAAAGCCGCCCAGGGGAGTTACTGTGACAGTCTCCTCCCAAGCCATGGCTTGGTGCACGTTGCTCCAAGCCACGTGCACCAAGCCCGACTTCCGTTCGGAAAGGGAGTTCCTGTGCGCGACGCCAGGTTGGTAGGAGTTATGATCTCTTTTGAAACGACTCTTTCTCGAAACAAGGGAGATGCCTCAAAATACAGATGGCTGTTTGGGTTCCTTCTGTTAATCTGCGATTAGTAACTTAGTACTTTTGTTGGGCAAGAGCTGGGGTAGCCTGCAAATTGTTACCACTGTCAGCTTCCCTGGGTGGTTTGGCTTGGTGGTTGGACCCTTAGGGGCTACCTTCGCCAACTAAGTGGTAGCTGATTTACTGCGGATGGGAGCCTTCGAAGGCAGCTGCTGCCCTCGGTGCTCCGAGTCCTGCGACGCCAGCGCAAGGCTCTCGCTCGGAAAAGCCGCGAGTCGGGAGGAGTCGGGCAGCCTGACACTTGGAACCCCAGCTGGGATGTGGATCTTTTTTGGGTTGCAACCATAGATCAAAAGATACCTTGTGAGGTCAACAAAGGCGTGGTCCTTGAATCACGAACGATGTCCAAAGAGTCCCCTATTGAAGTCCAGTGGGGATGGAACCGGTTGGGTTTTTCTGCCTTTCAGATGGGATCCGTGATGGAAACCACCCCGAAGGGTAGTTTCGAATAGAAGCGAACATCTTCCGGGGGCCTCCAGTCATGTTCCACGTTGGGCGGGTTTTCACCTCGGGAAAGGCCAACTCAAAGTACCCAAATGGGTAGTCCGCGATGTCTTTTTTTTTGGTTGGACATAGGGAACATCCACCTTTTGCTTGGCCAAGCTGGTGGGTGAGTCATTTTGAATTTCCAAGTCACACAAAATGGCTATAGCCCCATGGAAGTTCATCTCGCGTACCCTCAAAGGACCATCAATTCAAATTGTAGGGTTGGCCGTCATAGTTTGGACATACTCCCCACAGGAGATTTGGAGCGCCTCAAATAACTAACTGACAAAGGTTGATTCTGGTGAGCTCCGTGTGGGAGGGTAGTATGTAGTCGTGCGTTCCCTTTGCTAGGACCAAAACACGGGTACTGCCAGAACCCCCTCCCCCCCCTCCCGCCTCCCCTCCCCCCTCCAAGTGGACAGTTGGGATCTACTTGGGTGTGAAGATCAAAAATAGGGTAACCTCAAAATGGGATGGGCAGCCCTGGTAGCTGGAAACTAGTTACTGAAATCTGGGGTCCAATTCCTGGTTTAATCTTGGGCCCCCTGGAGTCTTTGACCCATACCTATTTGGGTGTGGCTCAAAGTTATAATCCATGTTTCCAATTACCAGGGCAAGCCATTTTGGTACCTTTTCTTGTTTTTGAGCCATACCCATCTTGCGATCTCCTTTTGGGCCGACATCGCCTCTCCATGGATTCCAGGATCCGGAGGAGTCCTCGGCGCGGCTGCTGTCCAGTCCGACCCAACGCTGGTTGGAGGCCAACGTCTTCGCCTTGCGGATTTTAAAAGAAACACTGACTATGTATACTCAAAATGCATGCTCACAAATATGTACATAGATATAGATATGTATATATGTACATATATATATATATAGTATATTAGTGTTGGAGGCATCTCCAAAGAGGACCCAGGACTCTCCACTGGAGCCGCAGCTCGGGCGGGAATGTGGAAACATTAGGGGGGCCAGCAAGACCTGGCGTTTCAAATTGGTGTAGTGCCTGTGCACGTTTTTTTGGCTGTAATTGTCAGTTCGAGCAAGTTAACATTCGATATTTGTGGAAGGTATGAGGTGTCCCCAAAACTTGCAAGTGTGCAACCACATCCAGCAAAGCCCAGGACAATTTGCTGTACATCCCCTTCCTTGCATTGTTTTCCTCATCTTCATAGGGAATCCACCCCCGGCATCCCCTACATCCCAAGAGGAATCCGGCACCTGACTGGGGGACCTTTCAATACAAAAAACCCAACAGAAAAAGCGGGCGGGTAATTCTATTTTCCGAGACGCAAACGTGCCCCCCCACAACACCCCTCTATCGGAGGTACGGAAACAACAAACCTAGCACTCCGCCAGTGAACCGAACGGACAATTCTAGGGGTTGATTCCCCATTCTTTTCAGCCATCCTTCTTTTCAAAAACCGATCGCCATTTCCCAAGGTTTTTGGTGGTTTTCTGGAAAGAATCGGATCCCTGGGTTCAGAATAGAAATGGAAGTTACCCCTAGAACAATCAACCGCTTGGCTTCGTCCAGACACACGCGCCAACCGAAGCGACCGGAAGATCGAACGTGCCAGCGCTGCTGGGGCCTTGGTGCGGTGGCAGCGCTGCTGCTGGGCCTCGGCTTGCCGGGCACGTTGTTCGCCCGGGGCCCGAGCGGGTGAGTGCTTTTTTTTTCCCCAGATAGCTGAAAGCTTCAGGGGTTCTAACTTCTAATAAAGAAGGGAAGTGATTTGCGAGGTTGACGGCTGGGTGCTAGGGGGCATGCAGTGTGGGGTTTTGGTGTAGGTGCTGTTTAGGGTGCTGTTTGAGCTGGTGATGGTGCGGGCGCAGATGGCAGGGTGCTAGGGCATGCAGTTTGGGTGCTGGTGCAGGTGCTGTTTTGGGGTGTGCAGGTGACGGTGCGGGCACACTTTTGCAAGATCGACGGTAGGGTGCTAGGGGGCATGCAGTTTGGGGTGCTGGCGCAGGTGGTGTTTTGAGATGAGGTGCTGGTGACGGTGTTGACAGCCGGGTGGTTTGGGAGTGCCGTTTGGGGGTGTTGTTCGGGGTGATGGTGCGGATGGTGTTGAGGGGCTGGTGACGAGCGTGGCGTTTTGCGAAATTGACGGCTGGTGCAAATACTATTTTTGGGGTCTGGTGACGGCCAGGGGTGTTGTTGCGAGATTGACGGCAGGGTGCTAGGGGGCATGCAATTTGGGGGTTCTTGTGCAGGTGCTACAATATTTTTGAGATGCTGTTTGGTGTTGGTTGAGGTGCTCTTCGGGCAGTGCTGTTAGAGGTGCTGGCGTACTATCGTTGGCACACGTTTCGCTATCTGGGGTCTATGCTGGTGTATTTTTTTTGGGGGGGTTATTTTGAGGGTTTGATATTGTCGGGGCCGACTGGAAACAAGCCTTGTTCTCACATGTTCATGAGGCAATCTTGTTTTTGTTGCTGGGTGTGATGTTGGTTTCCCAGCTAAAAAAGGGTGCCCGCAAAATATATATAAAAAAATGCAGCAGTTCCTGCTTTGTTCATTTGGAGCAGTTGGCTGATGTGAGACGCAGAAACCTGAAGAATTGGAGTAGGGGATCTGGGCCCCTCCCAGCCAGAGATGGACGCGGATACCCCCGTGCTTTTGATTCTTTAAAAGGGTTTCGGATAGGCTCCTGAAAGGTGAGGTTTCAATGATTGGGCACGTGATGTGGTGAAACGTAAGGATACCTTGAAGGACCATTTGGAAGAACGCCAGCGAACGGCAGACCATGCGTGCTACTTTTGGCAAATACCCATTTTGGTGCTTTTCTCTCTCTTGAGGGCACCCTTCGTCACATTCTCTCGGGTCACCGAAAGGCCCCACCCTTCGGGTGAAATTTTCACGGGGGTTCCGATCCAACGAGCGCGGAGTCCGGTCGAGGCCTGGGCGATTTACATGGGCGCGGAGCATGGCGCGTGGCTCAAATCGGGTGCGCCAGGGCGGGTGTTTTGGGTTGAGCCAACGATGGGTACGGTACGTTGGACGCACAAGAGAATCACAGGTTTCAGGGTTGGCCAGTGTAGAGAACCCAATACCCGGGCTCCAACAAAAATGGAAGTGGAAGATAGGGGGGTTCCCCAAAAGGGAAATGGTTGTTCAAAGCACTCCTGTCAGCTTCCATGATTCTTGGAGGGAGGGTATTTGGGTTTGTCTCAAAATGGGAATCCAAAATGGCAACGCGTTTCCTTTGGTTTCCTGAAATGAACCAAACAACCCCCCCCCCCCAAAAAAAAAAAGAACAGAAAAAAGAAAAAACCGAGCTTCATAAAAGACACCCCTCCGTCAAAATTGGGGATCCGGATGTGAATATGGAACCCCAAAAATGGCATTGGCTTTCCTTTTGGTTTCCTTTTACACGAAACCTGAAAGGGTACCCTTAAAAAGATACATACCCGCATGGACCAATGGATGTCTAGAAATTTCCAAATGGAAGGTCATCTTCCAGGGGACGTTTCCATGTTTGGAGGAGTATTTCCTGCGTGACAAATCCGAGGTGCTAAGTTGGGCAAATGTGATCGAGACCTAAAGCGGGGTGTAATCCTGGAGCTTTGTGTTTGTTTTTTTCCTTTTCGGTTCCCTTGTCATTTTGGCCAAACAAATCCTCGTTGAAATCAGGGGAGAGAAAATCGGAGCCCCCAACACCCCAAGTAACACTTCCAAGTGCATGCCCACCTTTGTTTGTGGTAATGTATGAAGGAAGGACAATCTTTCTCTTTGCAAATAAACACACACACACATATAGGATTATATGTAGATACATACATACATATACATATGTATAGATGAACCCACGTTTAAAGGGCAGGGGCATTTTGAGACAAGCCTACGAACTCAGGCGACGACGCCTGCCCCCGTGACCTCGATGGTTTGCTGACCTGGCGGCGGGCCCAGTTGCGGGAAACTGAAGGACATCGGTCGGCAGCGTCCAAGTCGGCAGCGCCCAACACCGCAAGGGGGCGACTTTAGTAGGTGGCTGTGGGTCAAAACCATTGGTACCATTTTGGGGTAGGTGTACCACCCATTTTAGAGCCTATTTTAGTGGGGATTGGGATGTTCACTGGGGGTAGATTTCCACCCATGTCCAGGTAATTCTACCCACCTGGTTTGAACCACTAGTTCATGGGTGGGCGCTGCTCAACTTGGAACATGCCCCTTTTTTTGGCTGCGCCTTGTTAAGTGTTACGATACGATTCCCTGCCAGCCCCTGTTTTTTGCAGTGGTTTGGTTTGGGCTGGCGTGCGCCCTGCCTGTGTCCTTGCATACATCAATATCTTGGCATCCTTTGAAAGGTCCTTTGTGGTGGCTGGACACGCAGGTTGTCCACACAAATCCACAACCGGAATCCCAGAGGGGTGTTCAATGACCGAAATCGCCATGACCCTTTTTGCAAGGGTTGCTTTCTGTCTTTGTCAGGATTCCGGTGAAACGGAAACACGTTTCTTCTTTGTGGATAACTGGTCTTTCATGGCTGAGAGCCTTGCCGATCTGCGTGCAGCTCTTGCAGCAATCCAATCATTTGCAGTTGCCACGTGTGTCAAATTCAGGCGAGCAAATGCTGGACCTGGTCTAATTGTGCGTCGGTAAGAACACACCTTAATCCAGTTTGAGCACGAAGCTGTAAAGATCCCGGTCAACACATTTGCTTGTGACCTGCTTGACGCATGCTACACTCGAGCAAAAGTTAAGAAGGCGAAGAAACGAGCCAACCTCATCATTGCCGCGCTTCTCAGAGCGGGCTGTCGACTACTTACAACCATTACATAAGCAAAGCGTTGCACTTGAAGCGAATACAATCCATGCAAAGGTCAGCTGCAAAAACCAGAAAGATAGAAGCTGAGAAAAACGGCCCGCCGAGCGTCCCGTTCTGCTTTCGTATGGGAGTGGCTCCTGCTCGGGGTGCGTGCACAAGCAGGTTTTTGTGTTGCTTGCTATCTTGATCCCACAGGAAGCACCTTGGGAGAATTCGCCCCTGTATATGCAGCACCTGCTTAGGGGATTCATGCCAAAGACCTGGTTGCTTGCGAGTGCGCCGGCAAAGCAATCTGAACACCGGAGTTTTGATCGTCACGCGTGGCTCAGGTAGGGTTCTTTCCGTTGGACACTCTGAAAAAGATGTCCAGAAGATGGCCTCGTTTTTCCCCCCAAAGGGCAGAAAGCCAAGCCGTAGCCAACCTTCTTTTAGGGATCTTGCTAGGGAAATGAATTTCTCTTTTCAAGCAAGCCACACCAAATCTTGGCTTGTAGCTGTAAGATCATGGTGGTTTGGGGCTTTGAACCCCGGCTCCTTTTGCAGCCAAATGGGGAAGGTACAATTTGAGGTCCAAACGGAACCAAACCAAACCGCCAGTTAGCTGATCTGAAGGCCATCCTTGCCGCGCTTCGGACGGATACCCCGAGGTTCGGGATCATCGGCCTGGCCTTTCTCTTCATTGGCTGCGCCGGCCCCAAGCCTTCGCGACAAGCGCGCGGTTCGGATGGAAGGCGCATGCCTTGTGAGGCATGTCAAAAGGTTCACCCGGTTCGAGGGAAGGCTTTTAAGGAAACTCCGCCATCTTTGGGGAAATCTGTGTTGATCTTGGTATGGCATATGCACTTGTCAATCTCGAGTTCTCTCGAGTTCTCTGCTTGCGTGTTTGTGGGACATTCCACAATACGTACATGAGCGAGTCAGAGTGACTGTGCGCCCAGAGGGGGGGGTGACGTTCGATGGGCGACGCCGGGAGGATGGTAGAGGTGTTGACAATTTTTGGGAGAGGGGTCGGCTGTTGGCCAAACATTTATCTTTGCTTCCTGGCCCCTTGTCCTGGCTTGTTTAGTGTTTACACTTTTTCGCTTGATAGCTGCAAGTGGCCAAGGTTTTGCTGGTGTGAAGTCATCCAGCACTGCAAAATGCGGAGGCATTCCAGATGGGTTTGTGTCCCAGGGGATCCCAAACACAGGCTTTGGGTTTGCTTTGGAAGGCACAGTTTAGGCAAACAGAACGCCCTGACTTCTTTCCGCAAAGCCAATTTTTGGCCATGGGTCAAAACCCCGCACCCCCAGTGAAGGGGGGGGTCTAAAACGGGTGGTGAATTCACCTACCAACCAAAATGGGATCTTGTTGGTTTTGACAACCACCACCTTCTCCTTCATGGCCTTCTCAATTTTTAGGATATTTTTGACCCACAGCCATCTGGAATTGAACCCTCTGCTCCTCTTGATCTAAGGGGAGAAGGTGCCCTAGCCTCCCACACACTGGGCCCCAAATGACCAAAACTTCGGGCTAGGGCGATCGCTTGGAGGCGGGTTTGTCTCAAAACTTCGGGCAACCCGTGCAATGAGGAGCTTTGGATTTTCCTTGTTTCAACGCTAAAAGCGCGGGTTTCGGAACGAAAGAAGAGAGACATGGCGACTCACGGCATTCCGTGAGCCGTCCGCTTCAAGCTACTGGCGCGTGTACCGGGCCATGTCTTTTGTCAAATCCTTAGCGCTGGCCTTCGCCCTCGCCGTCACGGCACGGGCCGAGCGGGCCGCCGGATCCCTGGGGTTTGGGAAGCTGGCGGCTGGCAGTGAGGGCCAGGCCTGCTGCGTAAGGCCGGAGAAGAATGTGGAGATGACGAGCCCGGCGTGTCTTGGCACTGGAAGCGCCAAAACCCCCCCCCCCCCTTCCATTTTTGGTTTTTCTTTTGGAAACCGGGTCGCTTTGCAAGCCGGCAAGCTCTTTTCTTTTGTGTGAGTGTGCTTTTGGAGAACCCTGTTTGCAGCCCAGGTTTGTTCAGGAGGCCAACGCAATCATGGACGACCTGGTTCGCACCGGCGCGTACGACAGGAACGAATCTGACATCTCCCCGTCCCTGCAGGACAGGGCTGGGCAAAATGTACTTAAACAAACAAAAAAAGGCTCCCCTTCGAAGGCAAACCTAACAAACAAGTCACTGCCCCCTTAAAGGGAAATCAAAAAGAGGTTGTTTCAACATGTTGCAACAGGGTCGCCCGAACCTTGCAGGAGGGTTGCCAGCTCGTGTTCTTCAACAGGCTCTGCCGGAGCCGCGGCCAGTTTTTGGCATATCGGGGATCTCTTCTGATATTCCTCGTGCCAAGTGCGGTGGTTACACAGTAAACCAGCTCCGGGAAAGTCTACAGGAAGCAGCTTCTTGTAGAATTCCTTGTGCCATTAATTTGAAATCTATGGTGGAAATGCAGGAGCCCTTTCTTTTGGGCGCGTTCGTTTTGAACAAGCCCTTGGTTTTCAGCACGTTGGTTTAAGTACCGGGGGACTCTCCTCTTTGCAGAACCTCTGGGGAATCAAATGGGGTTCAAAACCGGGTCAATGGAAAGAAGGAATTGGGGAACTGACTTTCACCGCTGGGTCCGAGGGACGTGAGCCCCGCCTCCGTGGCGGAGCGCGTGGAGAAGGCGAAGGCCGGGGCCAAGTTCCCCCCGGAAGCACTGCAGCGCCTCCAGGCGGTGGGTCGACTCGCGAGGGGAGGGGCGTGTCACCTCCTTTCGGGGTGCCCCGATTGATCGCTCCAAGGAAAAACCCGGACCACTTTTTTGGAGGTTTTGGACTTGGACCACTTTTTGTTGAGCCCTTTTAGTGGGGATGCTTTACGCTTGTTTTTGGCCGATCCGCGGAAGTGAGCACCCGTTTGGGGCACGGTTTCCTGGGTTTCCCGTTCAACCCATAAACCGTACTTCAACAAAGACACCTGGCTCATGCCGCTGAAAGCTTTGGGGTCGATCCCAAACAGGCTCCAGGCTTCAGGGGGTCACCAGGGCTTATTTGCCTGGTGTCTTCTTGGAGGACGTCGTCTTCCAATCCGCCTCCATCATAGGGTCTCTTTCGAGAGCCAGCTGTGCCTCCTCTTTATACGTAATTGTGGCGTGGCTGTCACTCTCAAAGGAAATGAATCTTTCAGTTCGCCCCTGTCAGGAGTTCTTACTTCAGGTTTTGGAACTGTTGCGACATCGGGATGTGCGTGTCTTGTTGGCACCCGTTTTGGCATGGTTTTTGGAGAGAAATAAAAAAGACCACCGCACATTTTGTTCGTCTCCCCCACTTCAACACACTCCCAGCTCCTGTTTTTGTTTAGCCAAGGGGGGTCCCTTTCCCTTCATTTGTTTTGCAGAACCCTCGCTCCAGCCCTGGGGTTCCTGAAGTCTTTTTGCTGGGTCCCATTTTGAGGGGGTCTCAAAATGGGGGTATGGAGTTGGAATCTTTTTCGGGTGATTTTACAGGAAGCTCAAAGGGAGACCACCCAAATTTGAGGGGTCCCCTACTTCGTTGTTCATACTTTAACGTTCGTTAAATTTCGTTGCCCGAACTCTACACATATTGCTTTTGATCGGGCGCATGACTTGGTACCCGTTTTGGGGCGTGGATTTGACACCGAAGCCGAGCATTTCGGGGATCTATGTCCGGTCCACTGGGGGTTTTATTGGGGTTGTGGAGCCGGCACCGGACACGTTTGGCTTGGGTTTAAGGGGAAGGGGAAGCCATGGCTGCCCCACCCCAGAGGTGACAAAGCCGCCAGCTCCGTGATGAGGCGGATGCCCTAAATCTTACAAGGGGAACACCATGTTGGTTTAACTTGGACATCAAGATCGGAGGACTAAACTAGTTGCCAGTTGGACACGGAAAAAGTTCACCTGGGCAAGCCTGGAATGCAAACTGCTGCGACCTCACGCAAGGATTGGGTTTGTAACCTCCATGATGCGTACACCTTTCATCCGATCCCTTCGATATTCAGTAGCCAGGATCCAAGGAGACAACAATTAAGTCTTTAGCAGTACTCCAAGGGGCCAAGCAATTCGTAGCATTTTGCTGATTTGGTCATGACTATGGGCCAGGTTTTAACTCCTCCAAACCTGTGCTGAGTCCCGACTCCGGCCCTCTAGCCTACGGACACACCCTCAGGAAGGGAGCCTTGGTTGATTTTGATCTTGACGGGGAAGTGCCCTGAAGGTGGGGATTCGGACTTGGAGCCCCCCTCCCCTCATTTCTTCATTTGGGGGGGTTCTACTTCGATCCGGGGTTCTTACGCTAGCCGAGGGTCGGGCAGTCCGCAATGCCTGGTAGAATTCGATCCCATGTGCTTCTCAAAGGAATCGGTTGCAAAAAACTGGAGGTTTCCTTTCCCTGGAAAAGCCAAGCGAAGAGGGGTTCACCGCTCCCCGAGTTAGCAGAAGGCCTTCGAGGAGGAATACAAATACGAGTTCCACCCCACGTGCGAGGAGTCGGAAGGCGGGCCAAATCCGAGAAACATCGGGCCTGGCTGTTCCAATTTTGGCCGCGAGCCAGGATACTACATAAACAAGTTCCCTCGAGACCATCCACATCCTCAGAAGGGCGGCAGCTAAGGGTTCTCGGGGCAAATGTGTCGGACTCGACACTTTCGGGGCAAATGTGTCCCAGGACACATTTGTCATCCACCGGGGTCTCTTGCGGGCGACTCTTTCGGGCGGATTTCAGACTTGTTTGATTGAGTTCATGGTCCCCATGTTTCCGAGTTGGAAGGCTCGAACCTGGGATCGCAGCAATGAAAACTCACCCCTCTCTCAGCATCCAAAAGCAAAAGGCCGTACCACCGCGGCCCCAAGTGGATTTCCGTCCCTTGAACGTCAACCCCAACCAAAAACCCATCGGCGATAGGTGTCCTTTTTGGTTGGTTTGGCTGAAACACAGAGGGCGATTCCTGTTTTACCTGGTGGTTCAATCATCTACCAGGGCCATCTGGGTGTGGGTCAAAATTAAACCGCCAGGAATTGGACCGCAGGTTTTAGTCCATGTTTCCATTTACCAGGGCAACCCATTTTGGGAAATTACATTTTTTTAACCCACAGCCCATCTGGCTGTGGGTCAAAACCAATGGTACCATTTTCGGGTAGGTGAGTTCACCACCCATTTTAGAGCCTATTTTAGTGGTTGGATTGGGATGTTCACTGGGGGTACTGGATTTTGGCTTTGACCCATGGCCATTTGACACCCAGGGGCCATCGCCGCGTCGCGTTGTCATGGAGCTCCGCAGGCCTCGTGGAGGCCGCCGACCGCCGGCGCTGCAGCTTGGAGAAGTTCCTGGAGCTGGTGAAGCGCGGGGGGGGGGGAACGGGGGGGGCGCCAGTTTCGGCGCCGGGAGGCGCGACATTTCGTGGCGCAAGAATGGGGAAAAAGGGGGGGGGGGGAAGGGGGGGTACCCCCAAAATGAGTGTTCTTTTATTGTGTTTTCTCTTTAGCTTCGCTTTTAAACTCAGCCCCCAAAAGTTGGGCGCCCGCCAAAAAAAACACACACACACACACCCAAGGGTTGGTGTGTGGGTGTTTTCTTTTTGAGAGCGGCCTTTTCACCTTCATCTAAAGGGCACCAAAAGGAACAACACCATTGGGGGTCCCCCTATTTTGACACACACCCAAAGTGTGTCTCAAAATGGCGAACCCAAATCTAGGGGACCACTATATATTCCGAGCCCCAGAACCATACTCAAATGCAAACCAACCATACCACAACCAGGGGTGCAGCTCTATTTCCTCCTTGGTCCATGGCTTTTTTGAGCCTCTGAGCCTGCGCACTTCATTGCTTGCTCCAGATTGAGAGGTGCTTCGGAAATGGGACAACTCTCGACCGAAACCAGCCAGGGGTTTGTCGGGTCTCGAGAAGATTCTACAATTTCTTTGCGGCAAAACCAATCCGAGGGTGAAATGAGCAGATTATTTACTTAGATCCAGCTCTTGTTTCAACTAGCTCACCATGATATAGATCCATTGCTTGGATTTGGTTCTTACTTCAGGATATTGAAGTCAGAATCCTTTTAGTTATTTCAGGATTCCTTTGCCATAGACAATAGCATCGGGCCAAGCACCAAGGGTAGCGTTGGTTCAGTTTCCCTTCTCCTCCCAGAAAATTTATCAGGCTTTGTGGCCGACTATGACATGAATGAAGCACAATCCAACAACATGTGAAGTACCATTGTCAACCCTTGTGAAAAATAGGTACCCAAAATGGAACCCTGGAAAGTGGAAACATGGACTAAAACCTGCGGTTCCCTGGTGGTTCAATTTTGACCCATACCCATGTGGTAAGGCCAATGCCTTGTGTTCGGAGCTGCCAAAAAGAGAACGGATGCCATTTTTTGGAGGTCCCCTACAAAAAGTCCCACCCATTTTGAGACAGACAAAGTTGTGTGAATCTTGGGTTTGGGACGAGAAGGTTGGAGCGATGCTGTTGGGGATACTTGTGGTTGGAAAGTCATTGCTTCTGGTTACCACAGCGGCAGGTAGCATGGGAAGACCGCTTAATCGCATGAGAGAGTAACATCACGGCTTGCGATGGGATCGCAGAACAGAGGCTTGTCAAATCTTGAACCTCTTTAATCCTCCGGGCTCTACTATCCGAGCAAAGCGGAAGCTGGTCAACGGGTTCTGGATGTCCTTTGCCAGAAGCGACACTTCTAGCCTGCCATTTTTGTAGCAACCCTGGTTGCCATGTCAAGGTTGTCAGGCAAGTACCTGTTTGAACCGACTTCATTTGGTTCAAGCCTCAGCAAAACAAACAAACAAACAAACAAACAAACAAACAAACAAACAAACAAACAAACAAACAAACAAACAAACAAACAAACAAACAAACAAACAAACAAACAAACAAACAAACAAACAAACAAACAAACAAACAAACAAACGAACGAACGAACGAACGAACGAACGAACGAACGAACGAACGAACGAACAAACAAACAAACAAACAAACAAACAAACAAACAAACGCGGCGTTTTGGGAGGAAGTGGACGGAGATCCTCGAGCAGGATGATCCGAACCTCAGCGAATACCACAAAGCGTTTGCTTCTCTGAGAAAGGTGCGTCTCCTGAGAGAACTGGAAGAAGAATTTCCGTAGGCTCGCGCGGCCAGAGCCAAATTTGTGGGGCGGCTTGCTATGGGACTTGACGTCCCTTCACACCAACCTACACAGGGCGCCCAGCAAAAAGCAGGCGACCCCAACCCCACATTTTGAATGGAGCCCCCTTGTGAAGGGCCCGGCTTTTTCATACCGGGGTTGTGGGGCCGCGTGGTTTGGAGTTCGAGGAATTCCCGATGCCTGGCTTGAATGCTGAAGTGCGCTTGCCACATGATTTGCCACCGAGCCATTTGTTTTGATTTGCTCCTCGCCCCTTCGGCGCCTCCAAACCCTCGGGCTCCAAACCACAAGAGGAATGAGGGTCCAAGGCCATGGACCCTAACCTGGTCGAATGCGGCCCCCGGCGCACGCGCATGTTTCAAGCAATGCGGAGGCCTGGAAAGTCCAGTGGGAGTGAGTGGCAAAAAGGCGTGGCGGCTCGCCGGGCTTCCCCTTTGCCGCGGAAGCGGCCTTAACGTGACTTGCCAAAGGACTTGGTGGGTGAAGGGGGCTCAGCAAAAGCTTTTGTGGGTCAAAGGGTCCAAGGATCTCCCAGAAATCACCGGGAAGTTCTGATGCCTCTCGTAGAAGGGATAGGTGCAGCTTATCTATCGATGTCACAGGTGTCAGCGAGTTTGTTTCTTGGTGGGTGTTTTGGGTGTTTGCTTCTCCCCCAAACAGGAATTGCGCTCAGGACACACTACCCGCTGCCCTTCTTTCAATCATGGAGGCTGACAGAAGGGATTTGAGGGCGCTCAAGACTGTTGGAAAGAGAGCATCCACGAACCCTCCGAGCTTATGAGCATGCCCGGAACCCCCATATCAGGGCCCTGACGCTTGCGCTTCGCAAAATGCTGAGCACTTGGACCTTGAACCTGTAATTTTTTGGGACCCAGCATTCTTTCTCACTCTTTGCAGCCAGGGCAACCGCCAGCAATAGCTTGCCAGATCAAAAAGGCCTCGTGCAAGCAACTCGCGTGAGTCCAAGGTGCAGATGCCAATGCTGACCAGATCTCCTGGCGCCTTGGATGGGGCACCGGGAGGGAGCGGGGGCGGGGTGGAGCGACCTTTGACTTGGGGTTAGGATGGTGGAGTCATGTACCCCTGAAATCCGGATTCGGACAACCCTCTCTTGCTCGCTCGCTCTCTCTTGGCTCGTCTCGTCTCGTCTCGTCTCGTCTCCTCTTCTCTTCTCCTCTCCTCCCCGCTCTCGCTCTCTCGCTCTCTCTCTCTCTCTCTCTCTCTCTCTCTCTCTCTCTCTCTCTCTCTCTCTCTCTCTCTCTCTCTCTCTCTCTCTCTCTCTCTCTCTCTCTTTCTTCTCTCTCTCTCTCTTTGTCAGTAACCTCCACTAAAGGGCGGGGGCCGTGTTTGACGGGAAACCGAATGGAAACCAACAGAAAGACACCCGCACGGCTGGGCGTGTGGAAATTGGCCGGAAAGCTGGGAGCACCAAAGAGATGGCTTTGGGTTGAAAGTTCGAAAGCCGAGCTTGTTTGGCTGTTCCTCGAGGGATTCCCGCAAAACTTTGGTGGTTTCGCGCCTCCCCCAATATCCTCCAAACAGGAGACACCCAATTTCAGCTCTCAGAGCCCGTCAGTACCGCTTAAGCGGCGCCCCAGGATCGGCCTGGCACTGCGAACTGTGCTGCTGGTTTGCCCGTGGGTGCCGCACTAAGCGCCCTGAGAGTCTGACAGTCTGAGAGTTTGCTTCACGTGGATCCCACGACACCCATCCATGTTTTAGAGGTAATTGTTAACGCCTGCTCTTTAGGACTTTAGGTTCCATGTTGAATTCCAGGGGAGTGGTTGTAATTTTAGATCAGAGTGGGTGTCCTGCAAATCACTTTGCTTTCCAGTGAATGTCATCGAACAGGACGCCCGGTGTGAGGGTTGACGGGCTTACGAATAAACACCAGGCTGAACTACACCCTTTTTTTGACGGTTGGCACCGGCAGGTGCCCTAAATAAATGTTGCAAAGGCACCAAGTTGCACTCCTCTCCTGCACCGTACTTTTCCATGGTTTTGTGGTTGACGGTTGGATGACTTGCAATATTGAGTTGGCCTTCACCATATCCTCGGACATTTTTCAGGCCAACCTTCGTGAGCGTCAGAATGCGGGCCAGAGTCGGGTTCCGGTCCTTGTGGGTCCTTTTTGGTACAACAGGTCAACTATATTTTTTAGTGCACATATTTTGAGCAAACACCCTCAACCATCTAGAATCCTCCGATTTTTTCCAGCAAATACAAGCCTTCGGCCTCAAACTTCTGGGGGTCGATTGGCGCTTTCTGGGTTTCGGCCGGCTTCTGCGGAGCTGCGAGGTGGGGGCGGACTGGACCTTTCACCTGCGGGGTGCCCGGGCTCCCAGTCTGGTTTTGACTGGTGCAACTCCGAATCAGTGCCCTACCCATTTACGTTTCAGCACATGTTTGTCTATTCGTGTTAAAGGGAATCTATATTACTGGAATAGTTGTTTCCAGGGGAAGAAAAATGGACATGGAGGAAATTGGTTGTTTGAGAAACCCGAAACAGCACCCTGTTCCGGGAGAATATCCGGGAGATGGCTTCGATGTTGGACGTAACCGTTTTTTCTTGTTTCGCTTTTGCCAACCCAAAGGGGGTTCACAATATTTGACAAACTCTCACCCTCCCTGGCTTCTGATGCTGAGTTCGGATCAATCTGGAGAAACAAGAAAGTATTCGAGCTCACCCATGGGAAAAACGAGCGATTGCACCCATGATGAAATTCCCTTACTTGGGGGATTCCTCGACTGCGTAGGACGCCCTGCAGGGGGCTCGCGGCAGTTTCGTGCGGTGTGTCTTTGTTTGAAGGTTCCCTTTTTGTGGTTTAGAGGAAAACCAAAGGAGTTCCTGTTAGGTTGCCTCCATGAGACAAACCGTCCTAAGCGCACCCCGGGGTAATCGGGTACCCAAAACAAAACACAGCCATGAGGAGCTCGCCGGGGCTTTGGCCTAGGTTCCAAAGGCTGAAAAAGCCGTCACGCTCGGCTTGAACCTTTTTGGGGTTCCGTGCCGTGAGGGCGATTTTTCCGACCTTTGCAACCCACGGGTTTGGAGGAACCGACGGATGGAACACTTGGTTGGACATGGGTTGAGAGACCCACTATGACACACCGCTATCATGTTGCCGGGTTTTTTGCAGGTACTCTATTTTGGCATGCAACACCACGGGGGCTTCGGAACGTTGGCGTTGTTCGCCCTCAAATTGGTCGAATGCGCAATCCAAGAGGAACATCATCCAAAACTGCTGCCTCGGATATGTTTGTTTTTTAAGGTTGACTGGCTATTCCTTCAGAATCTAAAACAGCCTGTCTTCGACATGTACTTTGGTTGCTGGCTCCGGGAAAAACCATCCAAGTGGGTTCATTCCCGCACTCCCTGACTCAGGATTAATAAGCCCGTTTTATTAGGGGGGTGCTCTCTCCAAAAGTGATGAATCCTCACTAAAAGGGGACACCCTATCAACCAGGGGTTCATGGGGTTCACATTACTGAGCAGCAAGTTGGGTTTCAAGTACACCGCCCACGTGATCCTCCCGGATCGGAGCCGAACTCCGATGGCGCCGAGGATGAGCAGCTGATGTGCGGCTCAGACCGGCCAGTTTTTGCGTCCTTCATGTCTGGAAATTGGAATCCCCGAACATGAAAACGGCTTCCCTCATGGCGATGTGGCAAACCTAGGACCATTCGGCGTCAACGCGTGTGTGTTGAGTTGCAGAGACGGGACTCGCATGTCGTTTGGCTGCTTTTTGCCAAGAAGACCTGAAGAAGACGCAAGACATTGAGCATACCTATGCGGAACAAAGTTTTAACATATATGGCTGTGGGTCAAAAATAGGCACCCAAAATCGGAACCTGGCAAATGGAAAAGTAAGCTAAAACCTGCGGTTCCCGGGTGACTTAATTTTGACCCATGCCCATACATATATATTAATATATAAACATTACATATATATATGTATATATATATATATGCACACATTTTACATATGTCTAAAGTATATAGGCGCACATTTTCCTGTAGACACAATTGTGGACTTTCCTTCCCTCAGCTTCTTTGTCCTGAGCAGTTGTGCTCTTGGTGACTGTCTTGACGATTCTGCCGCGCCGCTGCTTGGCGATTTTGGCACGATTCGTCCTGGAAAGAGTTGTGCAGGTGTACGTTTGTATATATATATATATATATACAGATATGTCATGCCCCCGGGTGTGTGTAGGATCCCTCTAGGACTCTAGGACACCTCCCCCGAAGATTCGGCGTTGTTTTCATTTGGCCGGCGATCAACATGGCAGGTTCCACCCTGGTCACTGCATCCATGTGGCTTTGGACGCCCGCGCCTCGATGTCTTGATGCTGTTTCAGTGGTTTTGTTCTTGGGTGCATTGTCCAAACCCTGGCCAGGCTTGTAGGTTCTTCAATTGGACACCCTGTGTTTGGCTTGGCAAGTCAGTTGTCGGGGTTGTGAAAACCCAATTTCTTTTTTGGGTCTTTGTGCGCGTAATCAAGTTTGTGATTTACGAAAAGAATGCGTATTAATGTGAATCATGGGTGGTGCCCCTTTTGGTGCTTGGACGTAGTTCACTTTTGTTGGGAGTGTTTGAAGTGGTTCTGCGACCCGGCTCAGAATTTAACTCGAATCCCCAAGTGAATGATGTCCACCAAGGGTGCACAAGTACTGCGCGCCCAAGTGCGGTCCTTTGCATTGGTCAGAACCGTTTCAATCGCTTGGGTCACGTGCGTTTTATAGGGTCAAATGGAATGGCAGTTGCAATTTGATTTTGGCACCTTCGACTCGGTTAGTTTCAACACCCGCGCTGGCCGCAATTCTTTGCTGGGCTTGGCTTCATGCTGGAGCAGTCGAATGGTGCGGTTTACCGTTGTTTACTTTTGCTTCAACTCTTGAGGGCACCTGCCGTAGGAGAAGAGGGGAGAGGGGCCGATCTTCGGCTGAGTCCTCAAAGTGCGGGGCAAGTGTTCACGTGGTAGGAGACTGGATTTTTGAGACAACATTGGGGCCACACCTCGACTAGTGCTTATATCTCTTGCACGTTGTTCGGGTCACAGGCTGCTGCCTCTCTTTCGGACAAACTACGCAATGCAGTGCGCTGCAAGTACAAGCTTGTGCCCCGCCAGTCGGCTCGGGATCTTGCGACCCACGGTTTTCTAGCCTGACCCTGCGGCTTCTCCTGACTAAAGTTTAGCGCGCTATAGCTTGGTCGCCGAGCGGGGCTTGTTGGCGCGCCGCGCGCGTCTCTGGGCTGGTGGTTGCGCAAATCGCTTGCGCCGAGGGCGCTGCTGGTCCTGGAGCTCCTCGGCGCCGCGGGCTCAGAGCGTTTTTCGGGGAGCCAAGCTTGCAGCCTGGGGCTTCCTTCGCTGGGGTGCTTTGCCACTCTATGGCCGCGCGCCGGACTTGCGTTAATCTATGATTCACGCTGCAGAGGATGCAAGAGTACCGAATTCGTATCTGGGGGATATTCAGATGAATGTGGTTTCCGATGAGCTTTCATTAGACCAAACGAGCGACCTATGTACAGCTCTCTGTTCTTGGATCAGGAAATAACATGAGTGCTGATGCTTCGTATCGCGACATGTAGTGAGTTACCTTTGCGTTGTCTGGCCTGCATGTAAGAAGCTTACAGTCTTACAAGCGTGCTTTTTGCAAAAAATGCCGTAATGAGCAGGCGTTGATGTTCGTGTAAAATCACGGTAACAAGGCTGCAAAAGTCGTAAGGAGCATGTAATGATGTTTGTGTACAACTGGTGAAAATGATGAATATGCACTGATGTTCATGTAAAATGCAGAAACAAAACATCAGTAATATGTGACAGTGTCTGTGAAATCATGGGAAAACAACGGGTTCATGCTCATTTTAAACCAATGTACCTTGCTTCGACAAGTTGTCCAACAATTGTGGTGATGTGAGTTTTTTGTTGTTCTGTGGTGGACAGGGGCAGCGCCTGTCTCGTCGTCCACGCCAGTTCTTCCTCCCCAGGCAGACAGGCGCCAGCGATCTCATGGCAGATTTGCCAGCGCCTGTCTCCACTACCAGGGCGAGCACAGTCCTCCTCCCCCCAAACAGACAGGCGCCAGCGATCTCAACGCAACGCGAAGCCAAGGCTGGCCAAGCTTTGCTTAGCACTGTTAAAGTTACCCTGGTTCTTCACTTGTTCAGCATGGCTACCCCTTAGCTGAAAAATTATCCTGCGCATCACAGTTTTTTTGCACTACAAGAGTCCCACCTGTGCACCGCAGTTTTCCCCCTTTGCACCACAAGGATTCTTCCAGTACTAGTACGTTCCGCAGTTTCCCCCTTTGCGCCACAAGAATTTCCCACGTATACCGCAATTTCCCCCCTTTGCACCACGAGAATTGCCATTGTAAAAGCAGATTTCCTCCTTTGCGCCACGAGAATGTCCTGTGTCTACTGCAGCTTTCCCCTTGTGCGCCACAAGAATTTCCCTTAGCATCACACGAATTTTGCACGCGCGCCGCAGTTTTCCCCCTTTGTATCACTTGTATACAGCAGGCTACCCCCTTTGCTTGTCTACTGCAGTTTTAAGCTTTTGCACCACAAGACTTCCGCAGGTTTATTGCAGGTTTCCCCGCACAAGAACTGCCCCTGTGTACTGCAGCTTTCCCTCTTCGCACCATGAGAAGTCTCCCTGTTTACCACAGATTCCCCCTATGCACCACAATAATCCTGCGCGGTTACTGCAGTTTTCCCTTTTTCGCACCACAAGAATAGCCTCCTTGTGCCGCAGTTTTCCCGCTTGCGCGCAACCACCGTATACCGCCGTTTTCCCCCCTTGCACCACAAAACGTCCGCCCGCGAACCGCAGTCTTTTTTCTTTGCGCCACAATTTCCCGTTTTTCCTCCTTTGCACCACAATCTCCCACGTATACCACCCCACTCTCGCCCTTGTGTGCTGCAGATTTCCCCCGTTTTACCACGAGAATTCCCTCTGCTGCAGTTTCACATGAATTCTGCTCTTCAACTCCGGTTGGCGCGAAGAGGATGGGATGAAGCGGCGCTACATCACTGGCAAGGCCTTCCAGAGCAGATGATGCAGGGTCTGGCGGCGGCCATTGTATGTAGGGCGGGGCCAATCCTGGAGGCACTGCTGGAGAACCCAACAACTCCACCCAAGCGATCGCACACCGGGGGACAACAAACGACAGTCCTTGAGGCGGAAGGTGGGACAACTGGCCTTGACCTTGGGCACACAGCCTTCAAACAGCGTCCATCAACGATCGCAGTCAAGATTTGTGTAAACTGCACCCAGAGGGGGACAGGCTCCAGGAGTCGCTCTCTCTTGCTCGCGCCCCTTCCCGGAAGACCTGCTGGACAGCATCCGGGAGATCCTGGCTCCTGCACAGGTCGACCCACTGAAGGCCGACCCTTCTTCCTGGACATCATACACAGCCTGTTCCCTCCACTACCAGCGTTGGACAGCTGTCACAGACTCCAGAGTCCACAGCTGCAGAGACACACTTGTCACAGCAATGTTCAATCTGCAGGATGATGTTGCTGCTTAGGCCACCTGCCAGCAAATTTGGCCTGCCAAGATGTAGAAGAAGGTGTCGAACGGGACACACGGCAAGTCACTGAAGGCATGCTTCACATCATGAAAGAAGTCAGGTGAGTCTTTTGAGGCCAGCATTCCTGCTGCACTGCAGTTGGCCATACCATGCTTTTGGCCTTGAGTTTCTTGCAGGGTGAAAAGCCTGGTGCATGGCTTGTTTGACAAGTACCGCCGCCTGATCCGCGACTGCAAGCTGTCGCAGACCATGGTGACCTCTTGCAAGCAACCCTGGCAGCGCAGTACTTGTGCTTGACTTGCTTGCTTCTAGAGTTTTTGTTTCAACTGATCTTCTCAAATGTGTTAAGTTGTCATTGTCTTGTTGGGGTTAGGATGGGGATCTCTCCAGAAATACTCCCACGAACTTCACGTGATCTATACCGCAGTCTGCCGTGGTTTTCCCCCTTTGCGGCACAAAAAAGTCATCTGTTTACCAGAGTCTCACAGCAGTTCTCCCCCTTCGCACCACAAGAACTTCCAACGCGTAACGCAGTTTCCCCCTTTCCCCGTGTCTACTGCAGTTTTCCCTTTCTGCACCACAGGAATTGTGCTTGTGAACGCCACTTTCCCCCCACACCGCAGCTTTCCCTCTTTGCGCCACAAGAATTGCCCTTTTGCACAGCAGGTTTCCCCCTTTGCACCATCAAGAATTCCGCGTGTCTATTACAACTTTCCCCACAAGAATGCCGGCAGATTCCTTTCGCTTGGCGTTGCTCAGGCGACTTCATCCTTTCTGAGAGCATCCTCTTCGCGCCAACCGGAGTTGAAGAGCAGAATTCATGTGAAACTGCAGTAGACACAGGGAATTCTCAAGGGCCACCTTGTGGCGCAAAGGGGGAAAATTGCGGTAAACGTGGGAGATTGGTGCAAAGGGGAAAACTGCGGGAGATTGTGGCACAAAGGGGGAAACTGTGTTACGCGGGCGGACGTTTTGTGGCGCAAGGGGGGAAAACTGCTCTTGTGGTGCAAAAGGGGAAAACTGCAGTAACCGCGCACGATTATTGTGGTGTGAAGGGGGAATCTGTCGTAAACAGGGAGACTTCTGATGGCGCGAAGAGGGAAAGCTGCAGTGCACAGGGGCAGTTGTTGTTTTGCAAAGGGGGAAACCTGCAATAAACCTGTGGAATTCTTGTGGTGCAAGAGGGGAAAACTGCAGACAGGTGGAATTCTTGTGGTGCAAAGGGGGAAGCCTGCTGTATACAAACTGCTGTATACAAGCGGAAGTCTTGTGGCTCACAAGGGGAAAGCTGCAGTACACACGGGAAATTCTCGTAAGGAAATCTGCTTTTTTACGATGGCAATTCTCGTGGTGGAAAGGGGGAAAATTGCGGTATATGTGGGAAATTCTTGTGGTGCCAAGGAGGAAAAAAGGGAAAACTGCTGACTGCTGTACACAACGAGAATTGGAATACAGCTGAACTTCGCGTGGTGCAAAGGGGGAAAGCGGCGGTATGCGTGGGAAATTGTTGTGGCGCAAAGGGGGAAAACTGCTGTACACAGGCTATGTGGTGCAAAGGGGGAAACTGCGTTATGCGTTGGAAATTCTTGTGGTGCGAAGGAGGAAAACTGCTGCGCACAGGCGGAACTCTTGTGGCGCATGTGGGGAAACTGTGGTGTCAAGGTGGCAAAGGGGGAACGTACTAGTAACTCTGGGGGGATCCTTGTGGTGCAAAGGGGGAAAGCTGTGGTGCACAGGTGGGATTCTTGTAGTGCAAAAAGACTGTGATGCGCAGGAGAATGTTTTCAGCTCAGGGGTAGCCATGCTGAACAAGTCATGACAAACGAACTGATGAATCTGTCACCTGAAGAATCAGGGTAACAGTGCTAAGCAAAGCTTGGCCAGCCTTGGCTTTGCGTTGCGTTGAGATCGCTGGCGCCTGCTGGCAAAACTGCCATGAGATCGCTGGCGCCTGTCTGCCTGGGGAGGAAGACGACGAGACAGGCGCTGCCAACGTGTTGCCCCCTGTCCACCACAGAACCACACAAATCGCACATCACCACGTTTGTTTGACAACTTGTCGAAGCAAGGTACATTTGTTTAAAATGAGCATGAGCGCTTTGTTTCCCCATGATTTCACAAACACTGTCACATATTACCGATGTTTTGTTTCTGCAAATTTACATGAACATCAGCGCATATTCATCATTTTCACCAGTTGTACACAAACATCACTATATGCTCCTTACGACTTTTGCAGCCTTGTTACCGTGATTTTACACGAACATCAACGCCTGCTCATTACGACTTATTCATCATTGTTACCTTGACTTCACACGAACATTTGCAGTTTTTTTGCAAAAACATGCTTGTAAGACTGTAAGCTTCTTAAATGCAGGCCAGTTGTTACGTTGTGTTACGACCAAGGTACGTTCTGATGCTCTTTTGGTTGTTCTCCTTCTGGGCCTCAAAACGTGTTGCGTCAAGTGTTTTGGCAACTGCTGCAACCTGTGGCCGCCAAATTTATCCCGGCAGGCCTGCGCGCTATGCTGGGGCGCCGCTGTGTTTGCGGAGCATGAGCTGTCGCTGCGGCACCTGGCCATTCGGAGCCGCTCGGCTGAGAAGGAACATTCATCTAGGAGCGACAGACGATGTTGTCCCCCAGAGTTTTATTTTATAGTGGGCCTTTGTGTAGCCACCTGCACGTGCAAAAGACGAGCAGGTTTGAAGGTGCAAATCCAAAAGGTTGCTTTGTTGGCCACTGTTGTGGCAAAGGGGAATCGCAACAACGCACATGTGGGTGCTGGCTTTGGAGCGTCCGGTCGGGACGTTTGCGGCTGGCAGGTTGTGTTGTTTGCGGCCTTGTTCTTTTGAAACTTCACAAGTGCGCTTTCAGCAAAAAGGTCCAAGGAGGCATGGTGTAACTGTCCAACTTCGCTTTCACTGATTCACTCTGGCTGAGGCATGGAGGCGCCAGAAGAGGGGAACCCTTGAGCTTTCGCCGGGCGCCCCGCGCATCGCGCTTTGCGCGCGTGCGCGGCTGGGGTGAAAAGTCGCACAGGCTAGCACGGTGCAGGGCCTGAAGCAAATCCACCTGGTGAAAGTGTTGGGGGGGCCGAGGACCAAATGATGCTTAAGTTTTTCTTTGTAAGGACACGTGTTGGTTTTTAGCGGCCCTTTTCTTTGGCTCGGCCCTCAGGACCATGGGATCAATGTGCATAGGTTGCTGCCCCACGCAGGCACTGTCTCGGGTGGTGGAAGCACGGCTCGGCGAATGCCGGGGTGCTCAGAAAGTGCCTTGGAATGTGTAGCGCAAAAAAGGTCGGTGCTGTGGAAAGGGCGGTGCCTTGGTTGCCCTTGTAGGTTTTCATTTTGAGGGGGCTCGGCGTAGGAGCCCAGGACTTGAAAGAACGCTAGAGATTCTTCTGTGAGAATGGGCGAATCAATCGCGTGCAAAATATGAGCCTGGTTGGCATCCTGCTGTTGGCAGGGGATAAGATGAAGACGCATCAAACTGGCAGAGCTGGCCATGTAGCACAACCGAGAGCGACTTGAGTACTGCACCTCTGGGTAGTCCTAATGGTGCAACAAGTTTCCGGGCTATTGGAACAGCAGGACTCCGGGCACAAATCGATCTTTGCATAGGGACTTGCCTCCACCCATGGTACCCCCCCGGCTTTTGTACGGGCATAAGGCCAACCTCAGAAGTAGTGGTTTTTCCTTGTAAGGTGGAAAACCAGGAGAGCCGTCCAAAAACCAAGACGCGAACAAATATTTGTGAATGACTGTCAGCGAACTGCTTGCCCAAGCAGTTTGCGGGCAGGAGCTTGTGGGCGACACAGGCAGACCGACAATGCTGCTATTGCTGCTGCGTGGATTATGCATTTTTTTATGGCCCCTTGAGGGCTCCACGGACAACGGGGCCTTTGCAAGCAGCAAAAGCTTGTAGGTGGCAGCCTTGCGCTGAGCTGCAAGCATCGGACCTGCGAATCCAGGACGCGGCAGTCGAAATTACATCGTTGCAACAAGCCATGGTTTGTCACGTTTTCTCGGAGCTTCTTGCGGGTTGGTTCGGCAAAGGGGCGTCTCCCAAGCACTTGCCAAATCCCACCGCGCGGCACACTCACCGACAGTCAAGGTCGTCCCGGCAATTCAGCCGGAAAGCCGCTCGTTCGGCCATTTCCCCGCCAGCGGCGCTTGTGCGGTATGCTGCAAACTCGGTACACTTGAAGCCCAACCACCTGCGGTATGCGGTAAACTCGGCAAAGCTCGGCACACTTGAGACACGTTCTTGGCGGCGCTTGCGCTGTATGCTGCAAACTCGGCCCTGCGGTATGCGGTAAACTCGGCACTTGAGACCGGTCCCGTTCTTGCCGGCAGTTCAGCCGGCCGCCTGTTCGGCCATTTCCCGGCCAGTGGCGTTTACACGGCATGCTGCAAACGTGGTACACTTCAGGCCGAACCCCTGCCGATCCTCGCTCCCTTTGCGGTTAGACAACTATACGAGAACCCAACTTCGGGTTTTGCGTTTTGTGATGGAGCCCTCCAGGATGGAGAAGCCCCCAGACACAAAACTCCCGAACATTGACTGGGGCTCAGTTGCACAGCTTCTGCACCGTGTCGGGGTAAAAAAGGTCCCCAACCTTGCAGAATCCGCCGCTCCGGATGGTGAATTCGATATGGGCGTGCCTTAAAATAGAGTACCCCCAAAATGGCCGGTTTCCCTTTCGCTTCCCTTGAAACCCAACCAAAACGGGCCGTCCATAGCTTGATTGCGATCAGTCGCCAGCGCTAAGGCTTGCGCAATGACAAAATTCCAGACAGCAAGTTGGTGGAGATGGTGGCTGTCCTCAAGGCTGCGTCGGCGAGTTGCTGGGTCGCGAAGTGGGGAAACGGAGGGCCTTTTAAGATACATCTTGGCCAGAATTCAGAACTATCTTTGTCAGCTGTTTCGCGTACCGCGTGATTTTTAGGTGTATCTGGGACCTGTTTCAGTTTTGAGGCCCCAGCGTCCTCTTTTGCTCCTTTTCATGGGGTTGTCTTGAGATTAGGGGCACCTTGTGGTCTCCCTTCAACGCCAACCAAAAGGTTTTTTTTGAACAGACACCCAGCTTACCCCTTAAGAACACGTAAAGGCCTTCGCGGCAACAATCCGTGTCACGCCACCAGCGCAATTTCCAGCTGCGCTTCGCTTTGAAAGTTTGGCGCCTTCCAAGATGTCTACGCAGAACAGATGGGTGGCAGTAGGTGGGTGTTTGCTACATTTTGGGGGGTCAACCAAGCCAAGCCATTTTGGATGGGGTCAACCAGGACCTCTTCAGTGGTCATCCGAGTGTGGCCTGGTTCGAAGGCTCCAGGCCTCAAGGGGGCAAGTGAAAAAAACCATTTTAGGGGCCGAGTCGCTAAAAACATAAATAAAAACACGGTTTCACTCCATCCCAACCAATGCCTGGCGTGGAAGTTGTCAAGTCTAGGGGCCTTCACCTGGGTGATTCGGAAAATCCAGAGACTCCTTAGCAACGTGGGCTTGAACCACTCCTGCTTCGTGGTAGTTCTGGTATGACAGTTCTTTGTTCACTTTGTGTTTGACTACGCCTTTTGACTACGCCTTTTTCCTCATCCTCGCCGTGGATTGTAAAAGCGTAGGATTTAGGTTTTAAACCAACGAATTGTGTAATGATTTTTCCATTCACTTCGTCCCTAGTCATTGTTTGAATCACAGAACTGTCAGTATCGGTATATATCAATTTGATGTGTTCATTGTAGTTTTCTTAAGGACATCATAATAAAACTGACACATATGTAATTTGCTTAAATCTAAAAATCCTCATTCCTAGGAAAATCGGTTTGTCCAATTTCAGTTTCGCTTTAGTTTTTTCAACTCCTACCAGATTTTCATGTATAATGCATCTGTTTTTGAAGGTTGGATTATTCACGCATTTTTCATATCTATCTTCATTATCTACTAATTCAAAATCCATGTGGTTTCGCTTGTCCTCCATGGTTTTTCCATACACCGCGTTATTCATTAATTTAAATACATCCTTCTCAAAATCACTGTTCGCTTCTTTCCTTTTACCAGTGTTAAAATCAATCCACGGTTTCAACCATGCCCTTTGTTGGAACTTGATTATCCTATGGACTGGTCATTTTCAAACCCATTTTTAGATAATACTATAAGGTCTTGATATGAACCACATATTTTTCTTTATCCTTTAGATTTAATATTAACTTACTGGTTTTCTCGTCCTTCGGGGTTTTCCCGTCATAATATATTTTATAGACTTGCTTTTGATAATCGGAAAGCATATCCACATCTACTTTCATTATTTCAGGTGCTAGTGGATAGTCGGAGTGGTAGTCGTGGGGGTATTCCAAACCAACTTCCATAATATAACCAAACTCATTTTTTTTTATCACACTTTTCAACAATGGGAGTTTTCTTTGCCCACTTGATATTTTTCAATGGCAACTTCTGGGACATTGCCAAACCATACAAGTTATTAGCATCCAAGTAACTAATATAATTTGATGGTTTGTTCTCATATGCTTCCTCCATATACTTATTATTGGCAACTGCTAATTTATGACTGACCTGACACATTCCACCTCTCATTCCCTTTTCAACCATCTCATACATTTCTTGGTCATGCAATTGTTCTATCTCAACACCAGTTTTTAGAAGCATTGCGTCCCAAGCAAAATTAGGTAACGTATAATAATGAGCGGGGTCTACACCGTAGTATTCCATACACAAGTCCCTAAAGTGTTCAAACACATCGGTCAGTAGTAAAACATCAGTTCTTAAATACAAGTCGTGATACTGTCCAAGTGTTCTAATCCCGAAGTGCTTCCATACTTTCAACGCGCTTTCATAATCTTTATCACTCACATGTTCTTCACTCAATTTACTGTAAAACGCTTCTTTTGGTGGTAGTTGCCTTTCCTTAAGCCTTTCAAAGTCATCAAAATAATTCCAAATCTTCATCGGTTTTAACATATGGGTTTCTAACGCTGTATCTGAAATTGTTCTTCCAATTCTCACGCTTTTCACCATCTTCATATTTTGATAAATTTACCAATTTATCCAAAGAAGATGAGAAGAAACTGAAACTGTCCTTGAAACAAATATTTTTAAAACCAAAGGTTATAAACTTCTCGCTGTTCTGAGCGATGCATTCTATTTTAGAATTCTTGTTCAGTTCGTGCGCCTTGTTAATGATTAGGTGAGCATCGTAGTTTTTAAGGTTCTGAGGAAACACGTGGATTTTATAATATCTCATACTAAAACCAAGATTACAATCATGGGCACAACCTCTATATGTTCCCGTAACGTGGCAATGGTCACGGACCTTCTTATCCTCAGGTTCAAAATCATTTCCGCAGATAAAGCAATTAGTAGCATTTTCAAAATCTTCCTTGTCCTTTTCAGTCATGATTATCTCTTGTACTTCCTTCATCCTATTAATAATATCTTCTCTGACTTCATTGATGTTTCCAACGAACTTATCCATACAATCTTCACCTCTGTATAAGTAAGGCTCACTACTTCCGGTTATAGCATTGACCACATTAATCATAAAAAAACACACGGACGGTGATTTTGATAAGATGTTGTGTTTGCTTTTTCTGATTTGCTTTTAACATCAATGGGCAGGGTCAAACATTCAAAGTCAGCATAGATTACAAATGGAGCTTTAAGTTTCTTAAAATGGTTTTTGAATGCTATTGTTTCACCTGATACTTCTTCGCCTTCATCTTGTTAGTTTGGCTACTCATTAGCTTATCATAATTTTGATATAAGCGTAATGTGATTTAACATCATCAGTCAATTTAATCAAATCTATTTTGTGTTGCGCTTGTGGGTTGTTGCTTCCTTTGTATAATAAAATTGTTTTACTATTCGTATCAGGGTTGATGTAATAAACATTGACAGATATATACGTTTGTTTTGTTCTTCAAACTGTTCAATCTCATCATTGCCGACAGGAAATTCTATATTATCCCACTTGATGAAACTATCATTAACAAATTTCCTGTAATGATACATGTCGCAGGGATGGTCTTTTTTGTATGACTCATAAACGCCACATTGAACATAATATTTGAAACATAAGTCATCCTTCCTCATTTTTAATATTAATACAAGCCTTCTTGTTTGCCACCCAGTCGGGTAATGGAATGAAGGATGAACCACGGGTAGGATTGTATCTATCATAACTGATGACTAACTTTTTAATTTGACCAAGAACCAATCCTGACTGAACGTATTCGGTTATGTCGTGTCCAATATTGTTTAAAACACTGTTCAACTCATCAGGATTATGAATGTTGTATATCCTGCTTCTTAACCTCCTTTGGATAACTTCATTGTTAAGATTTTTGAATGATAAATCGGTTTCCACGATTATTTTCATGTTTGGGTTTTTGTTGAGGAATTCTGCCAGTCGTTGCTTCTGGTATTTTAAGTAGGATAAACCCTTCATCCCTTTTAATCTTATATCACTTACCGAGTAGGTGTTGGCATATCCCTTGAACGCTTGTTGCTCGTCAGTGACTTTGGACTTGAAACGCTTGACATAATCCTGTAAGGGTCTGCCCCTCGTTAGTTTGAGATAATTAGCACCTTTCATTAAAAGACTGTGCTTTCTGTAATCATCACTCCTCGTCACTTCCTTGAGTTTCGTGTTCAATACCTTTGAAACTGGTTTGTTCTTATCGTATCTGTAGGTATTATCGCCTATTTTAAGTTTTTGTGTTTGCCTCCCTTCTTTTTGTATTAGTTCGCCTTGTTGGCTGTTTAAAATGAAATCTATGATTTTTCCTTCTGACATTGTAACCATAATACTATACTCTATATAATATAAGGTAATTTCTCTTTAAGTAGTTTTCGGGCTGGGGTTGGCTGTTGGAGAAAATGGGTTTCGGGTTGAGAATGGACGCATTAATCTTATTAAGCGTTCTTAATAAGATGAATGATTATTTTTTCATAATGTGTATTGTCCGCTCTTTAAACAAATGTTAGATTTCAAGCAATGAAGAATTAAAACATTGGACACAAAATGTATTACGCTTTCCAAATCTGAACAGTTGGTGGTCAAATAGAAAAAACAATTATTATATGAGAAACATATTAAGCGACTTAATTGCAATTTACATAGGCCAATTAATGAAAGGATACAAGCATTATTGTTGTGAGTATGGTATGAGTTGTTATAGTGGTTGTATCTCTGGAGAGATTAAATGCGGGAGCAACTAAATGTTGATTATTCATATTGTTTCAGTCAATTATAATATGACTAAACATTGTTTTATAATCTAACAAGAAGGTTAAGACATTTAAATTAAACCTGAAACCCAGACCAGCCGACTAGCAACCCTCGCCCAAAATACCTTATATATTAAGAGAAAAATGAGTGGCGCAGAAAGTGCATATAGTGAGTATAGTGAGTATAGTGATGACACCCGTGAATATTTTTGTGGCTAAACAATTAGTGAAACAAAGGTTTATGAATTACACATGTAAAGACTGTGAGATTCTGAAATTTACAATTGAACAGGGTTTTATAAATGGTGTTTGTAATAACATTTTGTCTATATATGGTGTTTAATAATTGTAATAACATTATAAACAAAATTGATGATGCTGACATTAGAAGTTTAAGACACTTGATGAAGATTTGGACATATACATATTTATTGAGATGAATAATTTTTGACTAAAGAAGAGCTGGATAATTTGTTATACACAAAAAATCAAAGTAATGATTGTTTAATGCTTCTTGTTCTAAAATTTTAGTATTATAAGACATATTATATAATCTTTTTAACAAATTATAATATTTGAAAATACAATCATTATCATTCCCATCCTCATCACCAGTGTATAACAAATTATCAAACTCTTCTTTAGTCAAACACATATTCGTCTCAATAAATACCCATATTGGGTGGTTTAAAAACAAAACAGGAAATCATATTTATAATGAGAAAACAAGTACCACCATAATACAAAGAATCAAGAATAATTTTGTTAGTAAAATATAATAATATTATAATTGTAACATTTATACGCTTATATGTTATAATTATACTATAATTTTAACTTATAGCAAACTTTCACCAACACCCCAGAGCATGATAACTACTAAAAAAGCTAACTCTTTCAAATGAAAACATGTCACTCCCCAGAACAACAATGAACAAGGTGAAACAAACCCAAATGTCTAACCTCTAACAAAACGATATTTCCCCTCCCCAAAACCCTATGTTAAAAACGAATAAGGTGGTTAATAGGTTTGAAACAAATATAAAAGCATAACAGGCAACCATCAACAGGCCACCCCCCAGGCCCCCTACTTTTACAATTTTTTTCGCCCCTCCCCCCTCCCCCCCCTTCCTTACTCATACTTTTTTTGGGGGGTTTCTCCTCATGAGGCAGTTTTTTGCACCTTCAGCACGTTTTTTTTTTGAGGTGAAGGCCATTGAGAGCACCATCTCCGCCTGCTTCAAGCTCAAGCAGGAGCTGGGCAGTTACGCCCTGATGGGCCGGGACCTCGATCGATACAACTCAGACCTCCAGCTGAGGGGGCCGTTTTTGTGCCATTTCTTTCCAGCTCTGGTTGCGTGTTTTTGCTTTAAATTGTTGTTGTGGCTTCTTTTTTGGGGGGAAACTTGCTTGTTCAACTTTGTTTGTTTTTGCTTTACACTTCAGGCTAACTCCCAGAAGGCCGATCCTGTAAATGGAGCCACGTCTTCCAGGGTCCTGTGAGCTTCCATGTTTGTCTGGGGGAGGGCAACTGTTTGTCGTGATCACAAAAACCAAACACACCAGCAAGCAAACAAACGAGTAACCAAACAAAGGAAGAAACAAGCACGCAAACAAATAAACAAGCAAGCATGCAACCATAAACACGGTCCAAACAAAACACAACACACAACACGAAACACAAGACACAACTCAACGCAACACAAAGCGAAACAAAGAGAAGAAAGCGCAAACCAAAGGAAAACCGATGCCAAACAAAGCAATAACCAATAAGAGCAACAAATTAAATCACAACAAAACAGAACAACAAAAGAAGCAAACAAGCCAACAGCACCAACAAAACGCGCAAAACAACGCAGAAAAACAGCAGCGGCACACAACAACAAGCAGCAACAACAACAGCGACAAGAACAACAAAAACAACAAGAAGTACTTCGCTTCGAGCAACCCCTACCTCCGCACTCACGAGCATACGACCGTGACCACGGTTGTGTGAATTCAAGCATGGTTTTCGAGTGGCTTGGGGCCTATGACTGCTCAACAAGCTTTGCATTGAGAGCCTTATCCACATGTTTGTGTGTCAAACTCCACTTGCCTGCGAGCCGATCTCGAGAACTCAAACATCGGTTCCGTGAACAAAAGCCAAGCCCCTTCCAAAAAGAAACCCGACGGGGGATTAAACGAAGTTGCTTATTCGCAGCCCAAAGCAACACAAGAACATCACCCTTTCCGAGCCTCAGGGCGCACGCACTCAAAACACGAAGGCGCCAACATGAAATGTAAACCTAAGCAAAACCAGACTGGTGAGCTGCTCTGGCGGGATACTGGCGGGATCCACTGGCGAATGCTGGCCAGCCGCTCCGGCTCGATACTGGCCGGATACTCGGCAGGATCCACCGGCAAGGGATACTCAGCGGCATACTCGGTGGGATCCATTGGCGGGCGGGATGCTCGGCGGGATCCACTGGCAAGCTACTCTGGGCTCAGCGGGATCCACTGGCGAGCTACTCTGACAGGATACTCGGCGGGATCCACTGGCGAGCTACTCTGGGATACTCAGCGGGATACTCGGGAGGATCCTTTGGTGGGATACTCGGCAGGATCCAATGGCGAGCCGCTCTGGCGGGATACTTGGCGGGATCCGAGCCGCTCTGGCGGGATACTCGGCGGGATCCTCTGGCGAGCAGGGATACTGGGCGGGATCCACTGGCCAGCTGCTCTGGCGGGATACTCGGCGGGATCCACTGGCGAGCCGCTCTGGCTGCACTGACGAGCCGCTCTGGCGGGACACTCGGCGGGGTCCACTGGCGAGCAGCTCTGGCGGGATACTCGGCGGGATCCACTGGCGAGCTGCTCTGGCGGGATACTGGGTGGGGGCGTGGTGTAGAAGCGTCGCAAACGCGGTTTTGCAATATAAAATGTAACAACCCCGTCCTGTCGGGTGGGGAACGCCAAGAACGACAAGAAGAGCAAGAAGAACAGGAGCAACAAGAACAACAAGAACAACAAGAAGAGCAAGAACAGCAATAAGAACAAGAACAACAAGACCAACAAGAACAACAACAACAGCAGCAACTACAACAGCAACAACAACAGCCACAGCAACAGCAACAGCAACAGCAACAGCAACAGCAACAGCAACAGCAGCAACAGCAACAGCAACAGCAACAGCAACCACAACAACAAACAACACCAACAACAACAACAGCACCACCACCACCAACAACAACACCAACACCAACACCAACACCAACACCCACAACATCAGCAACAACAACACCAACACCAACACCAAACAACAAAACACCAACACCAACACCAAACACCAAACTCCAAACTCCAAACAACAACAAACAACAAACAAAAAACAACAAGCAACACAACAAACAACAAACAACAAACAACAAGCAACAAACAAAAAGCAAAACAAACAGCGACATACGACAAACAACAAATAACACAACAAACAACAAACAACAAACAACAAACAACAACCAACAAGCAACAAACAAAAGCAAAACAAACAGCGACATACGACAAACAACAAACAACCAACAACAAACAACAGACAGCAGACAACAGACAACAGACAACAGACAACAGGCAACAGACAACAGACAACAGACAACAGACAAAAGACAACAGACAACAGACCACAGACAACAGACCACAGGCAACAGACAACAGACAACAAACAACTTTCAACAAAAAACAAACAACAAACAACAAACGACAAACAACAAACAACAAGAAACAAGCAACAAGCAACAAGCAACAAGCAACAAGCAACAAGCAACAATCAACAAGCAACACGCAACACGCAACACGCAACACGCAACACGCAACAAGCAACAAGCAACAAGCAACAAGCAACAAGCAGCCAACAATGGAACAACGGAACAACGGAACAGCGGAACAACGGAACCACGGAACCACGGAACAATGGAACAACGGAACAACGGAACAACGGAACAACGGAACAACGGAACAACGGAACAACGGACCAACGGACCAACGGACCAACGGACCAACGGACCAACGGACCAACGGACCAACGGACAACGGACAACGGACAACGAACAACGAACAACGGACAACGGACAACGAACAACGAACAACGAACAACGAACAACGAACAACGAACAACGACAACGACAACGACAACGACAACGACAACGACAACAACAACCACCACCACCACAACAACAACAACGACAACACCACCAGCAGCAGCAGCAGCAGCAGCAACAACGCGTTGTTGTTGCTGTTGCTGTTGTTGTTGTTGGTGGTGGTGGTGGTGGTGGTGTTTGTGTTGGTGTTGGTGTTGGTGTTGGTGTTGGTGGCGCTGGCGGTGGCGGTGGCGGTGGCGGTGGCGGTGGTGGTGGTGGTGGTGGTGTTGTTGGTGACAACAACAACACCAACATCAGCGACAACGACAACGAGCGCGACAGCGACTGCGACGGCGGCAGCGAGAACAACAAGGACAAGGACAACGACAACAACCATGACCAAGACCACGACCACGACCACAACCACAAGAACAGGAACAAGAAACAGAACAAGACAAGAACAATAACGGCAACAATAAGAATAACGACAATAGCAGCAGCCAAAACAACAACAAACATAACAAACAACGAACAACCAAGAACCAAAACACCACACCGCACGTCAAAACAATACAGCGCGACACACTGCAGCAATCACAACCAAAGCAAGCCAATTCAATCCAACCAACCAACCACACAACAAATCAATCACATGGCAACACGAAACAACAATTAAAACAAACCAGAGCAAAACCAAGAGAACACACCAGCGCACAAACCAGCACAAACTCAGCAAAACACAACGAAACCAAACCAAAACAAAACACGGCAAGCCAAACAAAGCAACATTCAAACAAGGCAAACAAACCCACCAACCAACAAAATAACACAACACAACGCAAATCAAAGAAATAACGACCCAGGATGATTCCAGCCTCCAAGATTTGGCTTGTCAGACAAAGCTGTCCGCAACACCGCATCCATTGGGCAACTGGGCCAGCTGGCCATGCGAGACAAACATCTTCCTGTGCGGCTGGTTGCCTTCAGGCTACATGTGCCTTGAGAAACGTGATATTGGGGTGGGTGCCGTTCTTGAATTGCCTCGGGGTTGCTTTTGTTTGGGAAGGTAAAGAGGCTCACTGTTCCTTTTTCTATTTTTAGCTTCTGAAATCAGGAAATGCGGAGTTTGGCTGCGGTTTCTCAAAACGAGTGGGGGATCAGCCTGAATTACGGGGACTGCCCTAAGACTAGGGAGGAAACCAAAGCAGCACCAGGACAGTTTCTTAGGACATTAGAGGGTTTCCAAGAAGAATCCCAGAAGCGGGGGCCTCGCGCTCAGCCCTGAGATTGTATCGTTGTTGCTCACATCTTGGGGTTGCTTTCAAGGAAAGGGGGCGCCGCTTCCAATTTTTCTTCGGGTCCCAAAGCTTTGGAGACCCCGAAGACTCCCGAGCTCCCGTAGCTGAGGCGGCACCGGCTTCGAGAAGCTCGACTACTTGCAGTGCTGCAAGTTCGCAGAGGGCCTGAGCCCCGGGGCCTGGGTCTGCTGGCCCGTCAAGCTCCGGCTTGGCCAAGGGCGGGATCGGTGTTTTCGGTAAACCTCTGAACAAGTGTGGGGGGAGGGCAGGGTTGAAAGGTTGGTTCTTGGCAGCCGGGAGCGTGTCTTTTGTTCATTGGGCTTGCCTGAGAGGGAAACTGGACGCAAACTGATGACAATTTGTGGTCTGTGGTCGTTTTGAAACTGCATCCCAAGCTCCATATTTTGAGACATCCCAGCAGGCCCAGTCCAGCATTTGCCTTCCGCATGATGTGCAGGCAGCATGTCAGGAAAGCTTGGGTGTCCTTGACCAGACAGGCTCCGGAGTTGGAGCGGCCCAGGGCTTGTTGCTCCGAGGTGATAGCCGGATCCTCATGCAGAAGCTGACCCGGGATCGCCTCCAGGCAGGCTTTGCCATACATGGTAAGACCCCTGGGGGTTGGCAGGGATGGGTCATGAACCTGTCAACTTCTTGGCTTTAGACAGCCAAGAACCATGGCCATGACACACAGGAGTTTGGAGCATGACACATATTGGCCTGTCCCCAAATCAGGGGAACACCCCGGGAAGGAGAAGGGCGCGTTCGTTTCAAGCATCCCCCCAAAGGAGTAAAAACTCAAAAAGCGAGCTTACATTTTGGATTCCCAACTAAGCCAAGCTGCTTCATGCCGATTCTCTTACGATGAAAACACAACCATGTATCCAAGATGATCTGCAGCCATACATGAGGTGGACCTGAAGTGGCAGCTTGCTCTCAACCGGTCAAAGAAGTGGGACAGATTTGGCATCATTGCTGGCTTTTGGTCCACTTCTGACTTCCATCCGCTTTGCATGCCTGTTGACTTGCGGGCGTTGGATTTTTGTTGTGCTTGGGGATGGTCCGGTTGGGCTGTGCTCAGGTTTGTGACGCAAAGGCGTCAATTTTTGCCCTAAAATGCCCAAGCCGATTCTTTCTCTTTCAAGCTTAAGCTGAAAACTGGGAAGACGTGGAACCCGTGGGTTCCAATTCCGCGCTTCGGAGCTGGTGGGTTCGCGCTTGGAGAGGCCTTTGCCAAGTCGCCTGGGGGCAAAGGCAGAGAGGCCGAGGCCGGGCGGCGCGGCTTCACTTGGCATGTTGTCAGGTCCTGAAGTTGTTGTAGTTGCTGCTCTTCATGTTTGGTGGGTGGCTTCAAAAACGTGGCTGTGGGATGTTCACTGGGGGTACGGGATTTAACCCCATGGCCATGTCTTGTTGCTCACATGCCAAGGATTGGAAAGGTGCTACGATATGGGCAACAAATAAAGTACAGGCGCCTTTTTGTGCCCGAAATACGCTGAACCGAGCGGTGGATCGGGATTGGGCCGCAGGGCGTGCGCATGGCTTTGGTTGGGCTACAGGGTTTCTTGGAGGTTTTTCTTGGTGCTGAGTTCACACCCAAGGCGAGTGGCTGATATATAGATGTTGCTGGCAGCCCATAGATGTTGGCAGAAAGCTGAGGCCCAGCTGTCCGTTTGACTTCCCAGGCATTCACAGTCCACACACACACACATAGATGGGGCCACCTGAAAGCGGGTCAGCCAGCGTTTCTCAGTTTCCGATGGGCCAGGTGAAACAAAAACCAACAGTCAACACTAGCGCCCTTTCTGGGGGTTTGGGGGGAGATTCTGGGGCTGTTGGAGATACTTGGGGTTTTGGGGTGGGTGCCTTTTGAAACAAGATAGGAAGCCAAAGGCCGCATCGCTCCTCTTCAAGGCCCATGTCACTACTATGAGACAAAACAGATCATCAGCCTCCGGATGCTTTCCACATATTTTTGGAGGGGTTCTTTTCTCATAACTGGCGTTGAGGCGGTTTGTTGGTTGCCTGCTCCGAGCTTCGGGTCCGCGCTGTTTCCTTGAGGCCTGCATGAAGTTGGGGATGGCCCTGAAGAGCGGCAAGGAGGCCTGGAATGCCAACTTCCAGCTGGCCGGGAGCTCAGACCTCGGGGGCTCGCCCGCTCGAAGGCCTTGTCGGGTCCCAGAATGCTGACCCCAAAGCCAATGGTTTCCGGGCTGAGACTGGGTGCGAGTCTCGGCCCCAAAAGCTCAAGGTCTACGAGGTGGCCGAACTGGTGATGGACCGCATCGTGGACGAGGTGGGCTGGCTGGCTCTCCGAGGAGAGTGGTCTGTAGGTGCATTCAGCTAGTGCGCCAGCGAGTTTACGATTTCAGTTGCTGGTTGGCTGGCTTTTTTGACTTGATTGTCTGGTGGCAGATGCGAACACCACGAGTTGTGAGGCGTGCAGATGGTCGTGTGTCTACCGTTCGGAGGCCTGTTGCAGTTCCCCGATTCTCGCGTGAGAACTCATGTTCTTATCCCTTCCCACAGCATTGGTTCAAAGACAGCGCAGTTGAATTACACCAGTCGTTTTGGTTGATGCAATGAGAGCGTTCCAGGTCATCGCATGCCAGCTCATTCAGCGCGTTCCAAAACACCCCACCTGGCGGTGGACATTTGGGGTTTCTCCTGTACCGAGCAAATCCCCATTCACAACTTCACAACCATCAGTTGTGACGTTGGATTCCTGTGTCTATATCTGTATCTGTGTCTGTGTCTGTGTCTGTGTCTGTGTGTGTGTGTGGGTGTGGGGGGGGCTGGCTGTGGAGCTCAGGGACCCCGTTGGGCTTTTCTTCAAAAGGGCACTGCCCCAAGTCCCAGGGCAACAGGTCTGCAGCCGCCAGGCCAACGGCCCCAAGGCGGCCCTGTGAGCTCTGGCGCGGGCGTGTCTTGGGCTGCGGGCTGCCGGCTTGGCTAAGGAGCCCCCCGCGTCTTGGGCTGGTGGGGTCAGTCTTGTTATGGAGAGTCAGTCTTTTGATGGCGAAGATGTGGTGCAGTTCTTTTTGCACTATTTCCCGTATTTCCCAAAGGCGAGGGAGGTCAAAAGGTGAAAGGTGGCCCCTTTGGTTTGGCGTGTCCCCTCCTTTTCCGCAGGACGGCTGAACGTTCGCCGCCTGGGCTTCTGGGGGACGGGCCGACAGATGCTTTTGTTCCGAGCATCCATGGGGTTTCTCTGAGCGCTTGCTGAGACGAAAGCACCATGAGAGGACAGTTGAGTTGTTTGCGTCTTCTTGTGAGTGGGCTGCTCGCTTGATCTTTTGGCGCTAAGTATAGCCTCAAACAAAAAGGAGGTCTCCCACCCTGACTGTCAACTCTGTTCGCCAAGCGGACTTCGGAGCAACCCCGCTGGATGTTTGCCGTTTGAAGTGCGCCAGTTGCGGCTTTTGAAACCGTCGGAAGTTTCGATGGCGGAGCGGAGGGAAAATGCGGCCTGGGCGGGAGGTCTAGAACCTCAGGACATCGGCGTCCTTTTCAGATGTTAGTTTGGTTAGACTAGATGGCAAGGGTTGTTTGGATGGGTGCCATTCCATGTACCAATGGTTTAGATTGATGCTATTCCATTTAAGTACCAGGGTACCAAAAGGCCCTTTTTGGAGCAGTTTGGCATATCTCCAAGAGGAAATTTACACTTCTAAGAAGCAGGATCTTCTTTGCGCCAGGTTGCGCGGGTGACCCCTGAGATACACTCCCGAAAAGTCATCAAATACCTTCATCACACCTTCCTCAACCTGTTTACAATGGGACAATCCACCCATCAACTGGCGACATGCCACGGGATAGATGAACGCGACGGGCCACCACCCCCTTTTTCTCTGGAATTGGGGGATCTCAACCTGGAGACTTTGAATGGCTAGCCATTTTTCCGTATGGGGGACTAGCACCTAGGACCCCCTCCCTGTTGGGGGGGGGGGTGAGGGAGAGATCTTCGTAGGCCGAACACCACGCCCAGCCGCACGCGGGACAAGCGCGGCGGCCCGGGGTACCGATTTTTTATCCACTATAGCATGACAGGTTCCCACTGAGGACACCATGAGCATGGGCCGAGATAGGGAGTTTTGTGCCTGGCACAAATAAGCCGCAATCAGAACCTAACGATAGTACAGGGACAGTCCCAACCAGAATTAAATAGGCCTGGCAGGAGCCGCCTTTGATTGCCCGCCGTGGGTTTTCGGGTTTGCCCCGGTTTGGATTTGGCCTCAATGGACCTGTGCGGCTTAAACAAGCAAGAGGCCGACCGAGTGGCTTACGTCAAGCCTGAAGGGGGGCACTCCAAGCCCACCAAAAAACCGGCGGCTCTGGCGGCATTTTTGGCATAGGGGTCAATCTTGGCCCCAGAGCTTGTCGGACCCGGAAAACAGTTCTTGTGGGACTCTTCTCAATGCTCCCTCTTTGGGTGGTTTCCAACCGACGTGAAGTGCTCTCAAAATCCTAAGGTTCTAAGGGTGGAAGTAGTACCCTGTTCATTCCGTTTCCTTGGCTTCCCTTCCCAACCCACAAAGTGAGTTTTTTCCCCCGAAAATGGGGAGACCGGACTCAGCGAGCCCCAAGAGGAGCCACTGAAAATGGTGAACTAACCAACCCCTGATACAAGCCTTCTGAGGGGCGGCCCCTTCACTGTCCCTTGTGACTCTTTGGGTAGCTCCCCCTCACTTTCGGGGGGTTAAATGGATAAGTGAGCTTCGAGTAATGTTTACAGGCAAGGTTTTGCAAAATCAATCCTCCATCATTCTGCGAGATGTGCCGGATGGCAGTGGTCTCGGTCTTGCGGTGTTTCCCTTGTGGAACCTTCCGCCAATCGACCTTCGGGAGCCCTCGACCTCGCAACCAAGGAGGTCCGACCCCAGCAAGGGGAGCACCACGGGCCTGGCCGGGGCCCGCAGGTGGAGGTGGGGATGGTCCATTTGGGGAAAGCCTCACCAAGTTGCATTGGAAAGAGGGTACGTCATCGGTTCGTTCACCAACCACTTTTTGAGGCCTGCGAATGCGTGTGCGTTCAGCTTAGTTTGGCTGGACTCCGAAAATTCAGTTTGTAGCCGGAATCCCTCCATCTTGCCCCCCGATGTTGGAGATGCCCGCAAGTGATTAGCAGTTGCTCAGGGGATTCTCTCTGCGTGTGTGTGTGTGTGTGATTGGGCTGGGTCCCCCTGGTGTTCAGGGAATAAGTCAACAGCACCAGTTGATCCTGGGCCAGAGGCTGTTGCATTCTTATGGAGTGCATGGAGTCTATTGCTCATGAGCCTAGGGTTTCAACACAACCAAAAGTAGCGCTTTGCGCTTGTAAAGCTTTTGGCTGTTCCATCCCAATCTTCTCCGGAGCTTGAATCAACCTGCCTGCCGGCACATGCGAGAAGTGGACGCCTTGACTCGGGGGTTGACTCTCTTTTGAAGGTTCCCTTTTTGGGGTTTGAAGTCATGGTGAAGTCAGAAGGAAGCCCAATTTGGGTGCCCTTTTACCTTCATGTCGACCCGTGGCCATGTTGGGGTTTCTGTGTGTCGATCCGCACTTAGGTTCGGGCCGTGGAGTGTGACAAGCAGTTTCAAGCCCAGCTGCTGGAATCCTGGCGCAGGCTTGGGGCCGCGAATTCGGATCTGGTCGATCGCATAGGGATGGGAATTTATGGAATCCATGCGTTTGGCTCCTCTTCCCTTCCGCCGCCCCCCCTCCCCCCCCCCTCAAGACGCGGTTCTGTTCATGTTGTGTCTTGCCTTTGAAGGCCGTCCCTCGTCAAGTCGCAGTCTGCCTTGTTCCGGAGTCATTGTGGGGCACTGGGGCGCGTGAGTGCTTCATAGTTGGCTATGCCTAATTTTGCAGTCCTCTCCATACTTCGCTGCCCTTCACTTGAGACCTGTTCCATTGTCATGGGATGTCCCGTGACATTTTCAGGCTTCAGCCTCAAACTCAACCGCTTTGCTCCCCTATATGCTTCGACATCGTTTTTGAAACTTTCATATTGCCTTTCTAAGATTCGGGAAGCGCTCGCATGTTTTTCTGGGTTTCGTGCCGCATTTCAGTTTTAAGCTCTCGTGCAGGATGCTGCGCGGTTTTCAAAGTCTTGAGATGGTAGATTCCCTCTGAATTTCATGCTTTTCAACATGGTAAAGTTTGCAGTTGCTGCTGTGCCATCGTTGGATCAGCCGCTCCATTTTCAAGCTTCCTCCCCAACCGCAACTGCTTCGCTCCCTTATATACTTCAAACTCGTCTCCAGCTTTCATACTTCTGACCAACATGGGTGTGGGTCAGAACCAATGGGGCAGGTGCATCACCCATTTGTTGTCTGTTTTTAGTGGGGATTGGGATGTTCACTGGGGGTACTCGGTACGGGATTTTGACCCGTGGCCACTCGGCTGAACTAATTGGGGATCCTCGCAAAGAGTTTGCTTTGCGCCTGATCTCGCTCGAGCGGAGGGCCGAGGACTTGGACGAGGCGGCGAACCGGGTGCACCGCCGGCAAGTCTGCCTGCCCGGGGCTCGTGCTAGGTGTGCCGGAGCCGTTGCTGAGAGCTTCTTCGGCATGAAAGGAGGAGCTTAGACACGAGGAACTTTGCTTATGTTGGAGAAAGGGAGATGCCCCCCGGCAGTGGGTTTTTTTCATGCCACACTTTCTGCGATTTTGTTGCTCCAAGAATTGACTTACCCCGAATGGGCCCGCTTTGATACGGCCCGCCCCTGGGACTTCATAGCTGCATAGCCGGGCTTAGTTGGTTCGGTTTGTCTGTGGGCTTGAGGCCCGCGAGAAACAGAGACCTGAGTCTGAGGCTCTTTTTTGCACCTTTCCACTTGGCTTTGGCGGGTTTAGCAGCAAATATATATATATATATATATATTGATGGCCGGCTCGTAGGTGTAAGCCTTTGAGTTGCGAAGGGCCTAAGCTAAGCAGCAGGAGACTGAGAGAGAGATACAGACCGGGAGGGAGGGAGGGGGGCCCCACCACGAAGGCAGGCCTTTTTGTTGGACCGACCGGGAACGCCAGGCGGCCCCAAAAACCCACAACCGAGTTTGAAGCTTCGTTCTCGGCTGAGCCCAGGTTCTTCGACTTTTTGAGGACTCCGGAGGGGGAGATGAACATGGAGAGCGCGGCGCTGCCCTACATCGAGCAGGACCCGGGAGGGCGACTGGAAGCTTCATGGTTTAGGGGCAAATTTGTGAAGGAGCTCGGCGACTTGGGGGTGCTTTTGCGTTGACTGCTATTGGGTTGGATCTTTAGACTTGAACTTTTTGGGAAGTCAAAGTGGTTTCCACTAAGCCCGCAAAAGGTTAAACTTATTGCAGAGGGTTCAACAGCAACCAAGTTGTGAGCAATTCCATGAAGCGGGTCTCGGGGGTTCCTGTGTTCCAGTTTCCAGCCAGTCGGCTGGCAGAGCCCTCATGCCCTGTGCGTTTAGAGGAATTGCCAGGACCCAAGCGCCAGCTTTCCCCAACAAAACCTAGTTGGTGAGACGAAAAAACAACTCTGGTCGGGAAGGGTGGCAGGCCGCCACAATTGGGAATCCCGGATCCAAGTAAAACCTCTGGTTCATTCTGATCGGGGGGCTGTTTGCTTTTAGTGGGGATTCAGACCACTTTTGGAGGGAGCACTCTATCAACAGGCTGGTATTGATTCATTTGGGGTCAACATTACCCTACGTGTCCCCCTCCAAACAAACGGCAAGCCTTCAAGAGCCGATACCCTCTCCAAAAAATGCGGTACCCTTAAGACTGCAGGGGGGTTAATTCCACTGACCCGGCCGGAAGTGAATGGTGGCCAGGGCTTCGCCGACAACGAGTACCTGGAGGCATTCTGGGGTGGGGGGGGGGTTTGCGAAGCGCTTGGCGGTTTGGATAGGTATTGAACCACTGGTTTTTGGAGGGGTGGCTAACACCCCCGAAGCAGCTTCAAACTGCCATCTTTTTCGAGAGCTGGCAGGGAGTTGTGTGAGGTTCGGTTGACATTGTTGGGTAGACTGGACCATTTGGGAGGGACGTGCAGGGGATTGCTCGATTTCTCGCCAAAGCCAGGAAAGCTCACCGTATGTGAGGAGACCCGCCCCTTGCAGGGATGGTCTTGTGTTCCCAGTTCGGAGTGCAGGGAGACTCATTATGAGGAGAAGGACGAAGCTGGCATTTGGATGGATTTGGAGTGGTTCCTCAATGGGTGGAACGAATGTGGGATTCTCTTTTGGCCTCGTTTTGGAAGGGGAATCCGCTATTTGGTCGGCTTCTTTGTCAGCCTGCAGGAGTCCCTCTCCTGTCGATCCAGCTTTATCGCCTGAATTGATGGCCTCCCCCAAAAGGTACCCGGATCTCCTCGAGTTCGCATTTGGGAAAGAGGCCCTTGCCCTGCAAGTGTTTTGACAGACTGGTCCCATGTGCTCCGTCGGGATGCTACGAAGCTCATAAAATACCCAAAATGAACCCTGTGGCAATCCTTCGGGCAATCATTCGTGCAATCATGTTTAAAATACCCAAAAAGAATGGGGTCCTTTGCTTGTCCTTTTAGCTAGTAACGAGAGGAAGAGCGGCCCTTGGGCTGACGGAGCTGGGAAGCCCCGCCTTGAGGCCGAGCTGGCGCGCTGCGCGCCGGACCTGAACGCGCACATGCCCCAGGCCGTGACCCCGTTTGACGCGTGAGGGCGGCTGGCGAACCCCCCCAAGAACGGTGTTCCTTTTGGCTTCACTGAACAAGCCAAGTACCGTAAGAACATACCCAGATGTGGTTTTCAGGCGGGTGTGAAGATCCATGGGCTCGAGCGCCATTTGTTCGACACTGGGCGGGTGGCAAGCAAGCCTGTCCTTGTTTTCGTGGTTTCTATTTCTGCCTGTTGACCCTCTCCCTCCCAATTCCTGGAACAACCCCTGGTTTCGTCCAAGGGAGGCCTCGATAAGGTTCTGACCAGGCAGGGCTCTTACTTAGGGGTCCCTTAATACTGGTTTATGAGTTCTTAACATTAGTTGCTAAATAGGAAGCAGAGTCTGAACATATTCATTTTTGTGGGAGATGCGTGTAACATGGACGCCTACCGGAGAATCCTACCAGCACAAATACACGCGGGTGGTTTTGGTCCCGGGCACCGCCCTTCTCTCCTTTCGGCGGCTTCAAAAAGTCCATCGCCTTCCTGTTGGCAACGAAATCGGTTTGATCAGCTTCCTTTTGGCGGGGGTTAAGGGGGAAAGATTGTTGGGGCGCCCTAGTTTGTGTTGTTGAATCAATCATCTCCTTGAAAGGCCAGTTTTATTTGAGTTTGGGGCTAAACATCTCCTTGGACAGCCCTTTTTAGTTGAGTTTCCCTTCGGCGTGATGCGTACGGGTTGCACATTGGACCCCTGAGAATTCCAAAGAGGGGAGTTCTCACCAGGAGCCTGCGGGTGAGCCGTTGGACAGCAGACAAAGGGGAAACTAAATGAGGAGGTTCAATCAAAGTGGCCGAGTTTTGACCGACATCTTCTTTGTGGGGTGTCAGGTTTTCCAGGGAGTCTCCATGACCCCCCGTTCGCACCCCCCCCCCCCCCCCCACAAGCCCGGGTTTTCAACCCGCCTGCCAAAAGCAAATGCGACAGGCGGGCGGGGAGCTGCCGGCGCCCAAGAAGAACGCGATCCGGCAGGTGCTGGTCCTTTACAGCCAGGCGGCGTCCCTTCGTCGGTTCGTCGGTTCCGGGATGGACAGCGGATCGCGTTTTTTTTTTTTTTGTCTGGACGAAAGCGGATTGCTTTGGATGGGTTTGGGCACGGGGCTTGGAAACCCAAAGTGCGAATTGGCTAATTGGACGTGGTTTTTCCTTTAAGGGTCTTTCTGCCTTTTCTCGGGGGTCCTTATAACTTTCAGAGATCTACAGCGTCGTGCCTTTTTGGGCAACTTGTCTAAGAAACAGGGACCACCCCCCTCTTTGGGATGAGCCAAAGGGACACCACCCATGGGCCCCCTGTTTGACATATGGCCCATTTGCAAACCCACCCGAGTTCCCTTCAGTAGAATAGACAAACCATCACGAAAAAGGTTGCTATGAACAGGGCTCCTTGTATTCCCTTCTTGGGTTGGGTGGGTTGTTTGAACCACTTCAACTGTGGTGAGACGTTGAAAAAAGTGCACATATGCACAAGCATCCCCACTTGTTTCACCCAATTCGAGGTTTGGACATCCACGCTCGTGCGATCCAGTTGATGCTTTACAGCTGTCGCTGTGTTCAGGAGTGAGTAGCACCCTTCACGTGAAAGACGGCAAGCTGAGCCCAAGCCGAACGCTCGCAGCTTCGTGGGACTCGGTACCTTTCCGTGGGCGGACTTCAGAGAACAGGTCTTTCAGTGCCTGGTCACTGGCTCTCCGGCCTACCACTGCATGCAACGAATGAATTGAAGGGAGGTGTGTGTCTGTGTGTACCTCACGCACCTGGTGGACCGTGCAGTTTTTAGGCTGACCGGCGATTTGTCTATGGAGGTGATACTCTTGCCGTTTGGCAAACAACAAAGCAAACCCGAAATATAGTTGAAGCCGTCTTCGATTTAGGGGCCCTTTACTGTTTCAGGTGGGTGAATTGCAGATGTCAGGCCCAATTGTAGAACTTTGGTTGATTGTTCTTTGCTTTTAACAGGGAGGATGCGTGCTTAACTTGACCCAACTGTACTGTATGGTTGGTCAACAGAATTTGGCAGTTGGAGTGATAGGGAAGTTAAGAGGGAACCGGCAGTGTTTTGTGGGGGGGTCCCCCAAACATGGAGACCCTTTAGGATGGTTCAAAGACACACCAAAAGGAAACACACAGTCTCGTGGGTCTATTTTGGGATGGACTCGAGAGGGGACGCCCCCATACAGTTGGGTAAACGATGGCACAATTCCAACCCAATTTTTGGTTCAGTCATCCCCTTTGCTTACCAACGAAAAGGGAGTTGTGCCATGTACTCTCACCCTGAATTGTTTTGGAGGGGGCTTTCACATTAGGGGCCCCCGAAGTGGGGCAAAAGGGGCTCCAAGGGGTTTTGAGACAACCTTGTTGGGCAGAGGTGCGGGTTCATCCCAGAATCGGTGTAACAGGCATGCCAAACCTGCCCCAAGAAAGGTGGCAAAAGGACCAACCAACTTGACAATTTCGGGCTTTAGGGGAGCTTTGTTGGATACTAGAAGGCTCACTTCCATGCTCAGTCAGTGTTTGTTTTACTGTTTTTTTTTTGGCTAGGGTGCGGCCTCAGATGAGGATCAGCCTTGGAGTGTTTGTGTTGGGTTCTTGAGGACAACCAACAGGAAACAGCAAAAATGAGAGGGCATTGTCCAATGTAATGTTGATCCTGATTAATGAACCCCTGGTTGACTTTGATCGGGGGTGTCCCAACACCCCCCTTATTGAGTGTGAAAAGGGAACCTCCAAAGTGGTTGGACACGAATCCCAATCTAAATGATGTCTACCAAAGGGTCCACTAAAAATCACACCCCACTGATTGTACTAGAGTGCAGGTGGCAAAGCCCGGGCCCACCGGCGTGCTGGAGGCGCGAGCGCGGCACGTTTTTTGAGGGAAGCCTCAAGGAACACACAAAATCCATTGGGGGTGCCGTGCCCTCAAAAAAGGGAGCCACACCCATGTCTCCGCGCAGAAGTCATGGGCTGCTGTAAATTAAGCCGACTCCGAAGGCAGCCCAAAGGGTTGGCTTTTTGGGTGAAAGCTGAATCCAGTCAGGGCATCCAAGATTTGGTCTAGGATGCAGTGATTGTGGTTCCTTTTTTTGGGACCCCGGAATTGTCTTACTGGTTTTCCTTGAATGCAACAAAAACAGGGGCACCCTCAAAGACTCGGCACCCATATAAAACTCATCTCAAAAGTCTCCCCTGGAAATGGCAGCTGAAGAAGCGCAAGTTCTTTTCCGACGTGATAACCACGAGGAACAGTGCGAAAGATGGGCCAACCCTGAATCCTTGTCAACTCGAAACGATGAGAATCTTCATATGAATGTAACTGCCAGTGTAGTACAAGTTTTCAATGAGGATGTACACATGAACATAGGTGTACATGTGTATATATATATATACATAGATACATACACGCATGCATATCTGTGCACTGTGTCAAATGCAGCGGGCCCATCAACTGCTAGATGGTTGCCATCTCAGAGGATGCCCTTAAGGCCTTACCAAGGGCTGGTTCTCCCAGACAAGCCTTGAGGCCAAGCCAATACCAAGAAAGTCCCTGGGAGGGGCCTCGGCTTACTTGGGGTGTGGCGCGGCAGTCGGAGCCTATCAAGGCAGGGCGTTTTTTGCGGAGGGGCTACGAGTGATCAGGAGAGGACTTGTACAGGGATTAGTGTTCTTCCAATTTTGCTCAAGCTCACGGGTGGGTCTGAAACTAGAACCCGCCAGTGCTTCCCCCCTGTACCTCTCAACTCTCCGCCCCCAACCCCCTCAGAGCCTTGCATCCGTCGCGGGCCTGCTTGCGAGTGGGCCCTGAATCAGCATTGGCATATGGTTGTTTGGGGTGGGTTCAAAGGAGGAGCCCCGGGAAACGACCAACCAGGAGCTAAGTTGATGACCAATTGGTTCGGATGGAGCAGATGGGCAGAGACGGCCAGGTGCTCTACCGATCCTCCTTCTGCCGCTTTGTGCTCGACAGCAACTTGGCCCGGGCCCCGAGAAAAGCATCTCCGCGGGACCACAAGTGGGACCAGCGGGCGGATAGGTCAAGCTTAGGAGGGTTCCGCCTCGCGCGTTTGGTTGAGAATTGGGTCAAGAACCTGTTGATGGACAGTGGTTGCGGCTGCAGGTTGCACGTGTTGCGAAGCGCGCTCCACGGGCCAGTCGACTGGCTTGGCAAACTCTGCCGTCAAAAGGGGACGAGTCCTACCCTCATGCTGGCCTGCTGGTGGCCCAAGGTCAAAGGGAGGATCCCTTATTTGAGCGTGTCTTAGAATAGGAGACCCACACATTTGGTTGTTTTCCTTTTGGTTTCCTTTTAATCCGGGATGTGCAGAATCGCGCGTAACTCTGTTGTCAGTCGTTGCGTCATGTTGAAACCTCCCTTTCAGTGATTCCAGGTGCTTTGACGTGCATTCCGAGAGCCTTCTTGAGGCAGGGTCTCAACATAGGGCACCCCCTTTCTATGATCATGTCTTTCCCCATTTGTTCAAACAACCTCGGGATTTCCCTTAGTGGAGTCCGGTGTCTGGTTCAAAGTTGCCCAAGCCTGTCTCCGACCCCGTCCAAGGTGGCGATAGAGCCGGACGATGGCGAGCGGCCAACGTACCACAAGTCCGTGCGGGCGCTTGGGGCAGTGGGCAGACCGGCCGTTGCCTGCGGTCCGAGATGGGGTGGGTCTCGACACCCCGTTTTTTTGGATTGCTGTTCAACAGAGAACAAAAGGGAAAACCCTATCCATTCTGTTTGATCCTTTTGCCATCCTTTTGCCCTCACGGGTTATGGTCGATTTGGGTTTGTCTCAAATAAAGGGGAACCTGCAAAATGGGTGGTTTCACCTTGCTCCCCCTTTAGAAGGGCACCACCAACACGACAAACGAACGTGTCTAGTCATTGCCCTGACAGAGTTGGCCTTCTTTTTGTTTCAGATTCGTCTTTCAACAGAAAAACGGCCCTTGCCGCCCAACCCCCCCCCCCCCCCGCAAGGCCTGTCGCCCCAGGTCAGACTCTTCGACAACATCTCCAAGTACGGCAACGGGGGCCGCAGCCTCGAGGGTCGGGAGGCTGTGGTGCTTTCGGGCCGCCTTTCGAGGCTGCCTGTGGCTCGGGGCAAGTTCCGGAGGCGAAAATGGGGGGGGGGGGTTGGACCGGTTGGACCCAGATTTTTCAAGCCCAACCTGTGACCCTCTCTCTTTGTACTATTCTGCGCCTCTCGGTTTTCAGGAGAAAAGGTTGGGAATTCGCAGTGTCCATTTCGTTTGTACAGACGAGCTCACCGATTGGAGGTAAAAGGTGCCATTCCACTCGTGACGAGGCTAATTACATGGGCTTCCCTTCTTTTTGGATTCCAAGATAGACAGTTTGCCGAGAATCATCGCGACGGGGTTTTGTGCGACCTCACCCATGAAGGTTCCGGTCGCTTTCGTAGGCCTGTAGGCACTTCGTTTTGTGGGGTTGGCAAATGAGGGTTCGTCCAGACCAGCCATGATGATAGGGACCCCTATGAGAAACACCCACTTCCCGACTCGCTGTTTTGGCAAGTGGACCGACCAAACGGACCCGAACGGCTCAGGCACGCAGCGGTTCGCAAACATCGACCACTGCGTGACCCTCGTGGTGCAGTTGATGATGCAGGCGCGAAAGAGCCCTGGTCAAAAGGAGAAGTTTCGAGAAACTGCCAATTGGGTTTGGGTCAAAATTAAACCACCAGGGACCGCCTGTTTTAGTCATGGGTTCCATGTACCAGGGTTCGATCTTGGGTACCCATTTTTGACCCAACGCCAATTATTCAGGGAATTTTTAGGGCACCTGCAATGAACAGGTTTTCACCCAGATGGTTGTCCTCCACTGCCCAAAACAAGGGAGTACCGGGACCAAAGAAAGGCAGACCAAACTGGTTCCTTTCACTTCCATGCTTGAATTGAAACCAAGCCGAGGAACCCAAATTTGGGCTTCAGTCCCTGAGGGAGACCTTAAGTTGGTCTTCCTTTCGGCCTTCCTTCTGCCCCAAAACGAAGACCCCCTTTCAGCTTGTGGCTTTCTGCCCAAAAAACACGGCGTTTCCGTAACTCCCAAAACGGAAAGACGAGCCAAACCGGACAAATGGCCATGGGTCAAAACCTCGTACCCCCAGTGAACGTCCCAATCCAACCACTAAAATAGGTTCTAAACTGGGTGGTGAATTCACCTACCACCCAAAATGGGATCCCAAAACGGTTTTGACAACCAGCCAAATGGACCCCACCCGGCCAAAAGGAAAAAAAATCCAATGGTTCCAGTGGGGGTTCCAAAGGTATATTTGCAGAGTGGAGCTCCGCCGGAAAAAAAGAAGAAGAAGAAAAGCAAAAAACAAAAACAGCAATTCATCGGCAGATCAACATGCCGGCGGCGCTGGCCTGGGAGCTCTTCGAGGAGGGGCTGCAGAGGGCCGAGCGCACCGCGGAGGCGCGCGGCGACTCGTGGGTTGGGCGTCGATTTGGGGTCGATTCGGGACGTGGGGTTCGAAGGGACATGGCTCGGGGTGTCCTTTTCTTCTTCTTTTCTTTTTCTCGGTTGGCATGGTGGTTGTGGTTTTTGTGCTGTGATTTTTTCGGTTGGTTTCTCTTTAGAACCAGCGCTTCGGGGGGGGGTCAACGATTTGGGTATGTGTCAAATGGGGATTGGGACCCACAAATGGATTTCAGCATTTTCCCCTTTTTGGCTTCTCATGAAACCACCCTGAAAAGAGTACCCTCAACAACACACACGCACACACACACACACACTCATATGACAGTCCTGTGTCTCAAAATAGTGAAAGTAGAAATCTGGAAGAGGAAGCGATCATTTTGCGACATACTCACATGTCCTCTTTTGGCGGACTATAAACATAACATACTTTTGGTTGCCAACTTGTCTGATGAGTTTTTTGAGTTTTCTTTTGGCAGGGTTCGAGGAGTTTGGGGTTCCACCCTTGTTTCCTCGAGGGGTCCGTTTTGAACCAGTGCCGAGAAAGGGGCAAGGCTGGTAGAGACTAGTGGCGGCATGGCCCCTGTAAGACTGTACGGGATCAGAGCATGATTTGGACAAAGGGAAAAACTAAACACACAGCTGTAGGGATTGGACTAAAGTAACAAGAAGACGGGGAAAGGAAAAACGGGAAGCAGGAAACGGAGAACATGTGGATGTGTTTTGTTGGGAAAACCTTTAGGGAGGTGGATACTTTTGCTACCAAAGTTAGGGAACCTCATATTTCAAACAGAGACCCGGAGTAGCGATCGCTGAGGCTCTTGCTACTCAGCTAGATCACTAACTTCGAGCTTGTTGGGGAAATGTGTTTCCTCACTGATCGGCAGCAGGTCATATTGGAGAAACGCCACGCAGCTTTTGCCCCGTGTTTCTCCTTAGAACATCTGCTCTCTTTGAGGTTTCAGCCAAATCCAGGGGTTTCATCTTCGGTTTGAGGGAAGTAGCTGGCACGGTGTGTCCAGAAGTCATAGGATTGTTGTGCCATTTTTCATGCCTTTCAGACAGAAACGGAGCGAGAACCTGCGAGGAGCTCTTGGGCGAAGGTCAGAAGAGAGCACGGGACTGTGCTGAGGCCCGGGAGGGTTGAGGGTCAAGACATGTTTGATTCCAGACTCATTGGCTGGTTTGCTTCTTTGGTTTCATGTACCAAGGTGCCATTTTGGTTCATCTTTCTCAGCCACAGCCATTTTGCCGCAGCATGCCCTTACGCCGCTGCGCCGAAAATTCGACACTCAACAGGGAGGCTGCGGATGTGAAGTCTCTAGGGTTAGTCCCCAGCGAATTTCACATGGAACCATTAGGAACCCACCCGGCCAAAAGGAGATTCCTGAAATGGTACCAGTGGTGTTCTAGGTTGATTTGCAGAGTGTGTGGGGATGTGTTTTGCGCTGCGCGCTAATGACGTGGTCACTTTCCGGGAATCCCAGAAGCCCGCTTATCAAAGAGATGGTCTCCATCTCTTGAACGGGAATGGTTACTTGAACTTGCGGGAGACACAATCTTTCCAGAAAGGCATTCAGCAGCCTTGGATCACCCGCCCCCCCTCGAGAAGAACCTTTCCTGCGGCTGCGCAGAAGGGGCTTATTCCAGGACGGACCCTCCAGACAGGGGTTGAAACGACCCGTGGAATTACAACACTCTACTACAACTCTTCAACAAACTATTGCAAGTAGGAGGTAGAGTGTACCATGGTTTATGGTTTTGGGGATCAACCCTACCTTTGGGCTCGCGGGTGGTCGTGTTTCGGCCAGCGGGGCCCCATTTCTCCCTTGGCAAAAAGAAAGAACTCAAGCGCGAAGTAGGCTTGCCGTTGTGGTTCCATTTGTTCTGGATTGTTTTCATTGTGTTTTGTTTCGCTTTTCTTCGGGCAAGAGTGGGGGCCGAAGAATCCAATCTCAACCCGGCGACCCACAAGTCGCCCGAAGCATTGGCTGGGCCCTCGCGGGCAGTTCGGCAGGTCCTCGCCAAAGAGGTCACCGACGAGGCGAATCCGTGTCCAGGGTGGGTTTGTCCAGCTAAGTCCGGGGGTCCGAATTCCAACCCCAGCAATCATCACTTCCCGAAGGATGACTATCCCTCCGGGCTGCGTATTGGGGGGGGGGGAACCATGGGGTTGCAACAGTTATCCTGAATGTCTCTTTGGGAAGATGCCTGCAAGTTTGCACAGATTCCGAGGCTGTTGGATACTCCTTGGGCTGTTTTTTTTGGAAACCATGGCCGGCGGGGGGGGGGGGGAAACACCGTTACCATGGGCGGGGGGAGCAGCAGATGGATGTCTTTGGAGCGCAGGAAACCAAGATTTGGACACTTTTACAAAGGGAATCCTGAGAGGGGCCACTTCCCCACCAAAAGGCGCTTCAGGGTAGTTTAAATATGAACTCCATATGACTTTCTGTGCACAGGTCTGGAGGCCGAAGAGGCTTTCGAGCGCCTTCCGCCCGTGGAAAACCGCAAACCGCAACCCTCCGCCTTCGCCAAGCTCCGATCGCGTGGGCTGGCTCGATGGCAAGGCCATCCTAGAGCGGCGGATGGACATGTTCGGCAAGCACGGATCCCCCCCGCAGCTCTTCCAGGGCTCGCTGATCTCCTGGACCAGGCGTCCGGCATTTTGGGATCTGGGGGGGGGTGGGGGTTGGGGGGGGGGGGTGTTTGTTGGAGTGTTGGGGAGATGTTGGGGTCATGGTGGTGGAAAGCAAGGTGCCACTTTTTGTGATAAGGGAACGTGTTGCTCCAAGTGAGTTACAATGGCGGGGATGGGACTCCGATGATGCGACCATCGGGGGTCGCCGGGTCGGTGGGGCTTGCGAAATGGCTCGCGGGAGGAGCCCTTTCGGCGCTGCCGAAAGTGCAGGCGCATGTTTGTTGGCGGAAGGTGTTTGTTGCACGTAATTTTGGTGTTTGTTTTTTTTTGGCACGGATTTTTTTGTGGCGGAAGTTGTTGGCAAGTTTAGGGGCAACTACGGATGTTAAGGAGGAGGAGGACAGTAAGGGCCGATCCCGTCTGAGGGTGGGGGATTCGCAATCGCACCTGTCCAGCGGTCCCGGTGCTTCGAAAGGGCAGCAAGAGCCGTCCGAAGTGCAGGCCTTTGACCCATCCAGACCACCTGCGGCTGCTTGTTTGTGCCCAAGAAACCCACCACCCCCGTGTGGTTTTTCCTTAAATCTGCATCCGGTGCGGATGCATCAATTACCTCGGGTCCATGGATTCGGCCGAATTTCTCAGGGGCCTCCGCTTCTGGGTGAACACCACCACGAATCACTGCATGCCCGAGGCGGGGAAAACGGCTCGGTGGGATGCCGGGTGAGGATTGGGAATGCGTGGATTGGGCTTGGCAGTGGTTGTCAAACATGGGGCAACCCCAAAATGGCTTGCCCTGGTAAATGGAACCCAAGGACTAAAACCTGTGGCCCAATTCCTGGATTAATTTTGAGCCACACCCATTTGGCGGCCGGTCCTTGGGGACTTCTCAAAACGCCAGGCAGTTGTTTGGTGGCTAAATTTTCTGAGGAGACCGGGAAGCATGGAAAACCGCCCCCTCAAGATGTGCCAACGGGAAGGCGCCGGTGGCCAGGCGAAGGCGAGTTGTGGTTTCTACCTGTTTTTCCGTTTGGAGAGATCTTTTTCTTCAGAGGGCCCTTAAAAGGAGAGTCCAATACTCAGAACAGATTTGAGTGTTTCTCAAAAATGACGAGGGGAACTTTAGATTGGGTGGATTCTTTTCGGGGTCCCTTCAAAACCCCCAAAATGGGGTCCACCATTTTGAGCAACCCCATTTGTTGGGTTCCTTCCATGGTAGGTGGCTTCTTGGGGCAAGCGACAATGAGGTTTGAGAGGGCAGCAACTCCTTTTCAGAGGGGCTGGAAGCAGGGAAACAGTTCAAGCTCCTTTTTGTGTAGCCCCTGTGCCCGACATCTCTCTCCCTCTCTCTCTCTCTCTATCTGTTGCCCTCTCTCTGTCTCTGCCTGTCTCTGTTTCTCTCTGTCTCTCTCTCTCTCTCTCTGTCTGTCTCTGTCTCTCTCTCTCTCTCTCTCTCTCTCTCTCTCTCTCTCTCTCTCTCTCTCTGTCTCTCTCTCTCTCTCTCTCTCTCTCTCTCTCTCTCTGTCTCTCTCTCTCTCTCTCTCTCTCTCTCTCTCTCTCTCTCTCTCTCTCTCTCTCTCTCTCTCTCTCTCTCTCTCTCTCTCTCTCTCTCTCTCTCTCTCTCTCTCTCTCTCTCTCTCTCTCTCTCTCTCTCTCTCTCTCTCTCTCTCTCTCTCTCTCTCTCTCTCTCTCTCTCCTCTCTCTCTCTCTCTCTCTCTCTCTCTCTCTCTCTCTCTCTCTCTCTCTCTCTCTCTCTCTCTCTCTCTGTCTCTCTCTCTCTCTCTCTCTGTCTCTCTTTGTGTCTCTCTGTCTCTCTGCCTCTGTGTATGCATAGATATTTCTATATCATGTACACAGTACGAAACACAGAAGAGTATTACACGCAGACCATGCTAAACATAGGTGACCCCTTTGCACACAGCGGCACCTCCCTTGGCCAACAGCCCCGCGACGTGACGCCCAGAACACCATGGAGCGCATCGAGCAGAGCTTGGCCAACGAGCAGTTCGCCAGGGATGAGATCGTTGAGGCGGGGGTGGGTGGGTGGGTGGGATGTTCTGATTGCCAGAGACGGAGACTTGAGAATTTGGGGGAGCAGTATTTTTCCTTCTTTGGGGAGGCGCCTATCTTTCCCCCGCTGGTTTTTTTCCTGATGTATGCATATAAATAGATAAATAAACACATATATATATATATATACATTGTTGTTCTGGGAGGGGTGTTCCCCTTTTGGGCAGGGGGACCCTTTTGCAAGGAGACTGGCACCGATTTTCGAGCGGAATTCACCCCGACCGAAGTGACCCTTCGACCGGCGCAGGTCTGGGTTCATCGGCTTTCGGTTGCAGCATGTTGTAGACATTGCCAGACCAAAGGCGCGCTTTTTTAAATGGGTGTGGGTCAAAGCCAATGGTAACAAGTTGGGCTAGGTGCACCACCCATTTTTGTCTATTTAAGTGGAGATTGGGATGTTCACTGGGGGTACGGAATTTTGACCCATGGCCAAATTTGTGCCTTTTATCATCATTTTCCAGCTAGCTTTTGCAGTGATGTCTGGTCAAGTAAACATTTCCTGACAAAGGAGCTTTGGAGCCCCGTGGGCACGAGCTGTTTGACCATTCCGACCCTCAAAATGGTCAAGCCACGCTTGTAGAAAACTGGTCGAAGGGCCCCTTTGCAGGTCTTGTAATGTTTTGTTTCGCCCCATTTTGTGTTTAGCTTGACACCAACAGGTTCCTTTCAGGAATCGTGAGATTTCAGGGGTTCCCCATTTCGAAGCAGTTTGGTCCCCTAAAACGTGGTGAATTCCTCTCGCAGGTCAAGCAAAAAGGGTTGCACAATCCGAGGCATTCGATTGGCCGGACGGGTTCTTCGCAAGGCAAAGGGGACCAGATCGCAGTGTGAGCCTAAGCAAGCCGATCGTCGCTTGGGTTGCCCAACAGCCCCCAAGCTTGGGTCCAAAACTCCAAGGGGTTCGCACTATTGTGGGTTAGCCAAGCGCCAGACAACCAAAGCGGGTTTAGTCCAAGCGGGTCCAAGTCATCGCACAGCGCGCCAGCCCGGGTGCCTCTACATCGTGGCCAAGTTCCAAGGCCTCTTTGAGGAACTCTTCACATCGTGACTCCCTGGGGGGCGGAATTGGGGTCGTGGTTGAAGGGGGTGGAGCGTCCTTGGGGGGCGCAGCGCGAACTGACTTTGGATCGCGGGTTCAAGGCGATAAGACTCTCTTGGATTGCTACAGGTGTGTTTCTCTCGAAAGTGAAGCTGGAAAATGTAACTTGGTGACCAAAGAGAGCTTGTTGATGCTTTTCCATCAGACCCGACATATTCACGCTTGGTGGGCAACCGAGATGTATCTGAAAAAATGGTAATCTTGCCTCCCGGAGTTTTGCGGCCTTGCCCATTGAGGGTTCTTCCATAGGGATTCCGTCTTTAAGGTCGGGGAGTCGAGAGGTCATCCAGATGTATGTGTGTCCAATTCCTAGTGTTGAAGAGCCACACCTCGCTTCAAGCCGTTCGCCCCCAAGTCTTAGGGGCTGTTTGATTTTTTTCTGTCCAAACAGGGCAAGCTAGTCAAGCTACTTTGCACAAAGCCCGATTTCAGGTCTCCGTGAGAATACCCCTTGACTTTTATTGGGGCTGCAACCAAACACCCAGCCACGGGACTGGGACTGTCGCGTGAAACCGACGTGAAGCTTTCGATGGCCTTGAGGTACTGCTACGAGCACAGAATGGCCGTCAAGGAGGCCGGGGCGCCTGAGCCCGAGGGCACGAGAGACACCAGGTCTCAACAGCAGAAATCCCCTTTTGCTGGGATTTCTTCCGAAATGGTTCATGTAGAGCTGAGCAATGGGTGTGTCTTCTTTTGAGTTTGAGGGTGCGCTTTTTGGGATGGTTCTGAAGGCAAGCCAGAAGGAAAGCCACCCATTTTTTTCGCGTTCCGATTCCTGTTTTGAGACAAACCCATATGGAGAACCCACACACACACACCGAACACATATTTATGCTATTCACAAACAGCTGTCATCGCAGCTTCCATCCCCACTCAAATGAACAAGATCGAGGAAGGGCAAATGTGTGGTTCAAGAGAACAGCGAAGAAAGGGCGTTCAGTTGCTCTTTAGAGAGGGCTTGGTTTTCCTACAGCCATCAACAAACACTATTGATTCTGGCCCACATGGGCGCGCCTTTTTGAGTCGGTACCCTTCTTGGTGTGGGTTGAAAACAAAATCAAATTCTTTATCAATTTGTTGTTGTGAAGCAGCTGCGCGGCTGACATTGTGCACGCTTATCACATTGTCCAGTGAGGAACCTGGTTGTTGGGTCACCAAACGCATATGGTTTTTGCCGCCCTCATACAGTCCAATTGGCAACAGCATGTTCAGTGGGACCCTTTCAAGCCTCGAACCGGCTGTTTGACCTCCATGTTATTGGATTCTTGCGCCCAGAGAGCAGGTTGGGGGTTGGCGAACAGGGCGGGAATCCCCAAACATGGAAAATAAGACACACTCTTGGTATTCCATCACTTTTGGTGCCTTCAAAAACAACCAAAGGCTTCGTCTCAAGAGAAAGTACCCTGAAATCGGAAGCTTCCAGGGTAGCACCCTTTGAACAAAATCGCATCAGAAACAACCGGACCGCCGATCAGGGACACAACGTATGATGGTTTATTGGGAGGGGTTCTCCAGTTTATGTGCCTTCAAAGCAACACATATCTCGAGTACACATGAGATGCGTCACAATCACTTCACGTGGCACTTTGAGCCTTCCCAAGAAGAGCCTACACCGTGGCCCCGTCCAAGGCCAGCAGGGTGCTTCTTTATCCTTCTTGGGTGGTTGGCAGATGATCATGTCATTACTGCCAATAATAGTGAGTTGGGATTGGCTGACTTCAACTCCCAGATAACGAGCTCGTGATACCGCTGCCCCACCCACATGGCCTCTCTTTGTTGGCTGGTCTGCAAGTACAGTCCTCTTTTGGATTCTAACGCCGCCTTCTTGCCCCTCTGTGTGTGTGTGTGTGTGGGTGTGGGTGTGTGCGTTTATGACTGTGTTGGTTTTTAAGACTCCTGGGGTGATGCTTGGGGACTATTCCTTTTGACGGCCCAAATAAAAAGTGAGCCGTTCGCGCGGGCGTGAGCGGCGAGAAACGCTTCGCCAGGACGAGAATGGGAAGATCCGGACTGAGCCGGTGCCCCACATGCCCGGAGCTCGGCCAGCGAGCGAGCGAGACGAGTGCCAGATGGGGCGCCAGGAGGTCCCTCGGCTCAGGGAGTTCTTCGGGTCAACCTCCATTTGCGGTTTTCGTCTCCTGGAACAAAGACACGCAAATTGTGAGTAGTAAAACTCTGCGAGGCTAAAAACCGACCTCAGGAAGCTAGAGACACCCTGGGCTTCAAACCGCTAAGACAATGAGGGTTCATATCACCACCAGTCTTTACCCGTTCATCTAGCCTGGGTTCTTGCCATTGTTTGTCCTCCATTGGCTTAAACATGTGTTTCAGTTTCCCTGTCTGGCTTAGGGAATCTATCAGGCGGGAACATTAACTGGTTGCTCTTGTTTCCCCATTTCGTTTTTGTCCATGACTGCAATATGTTGCCGACTCGCACCATGTTTTCTGCTTCAAGGCTTGGATTGGCGGTTTGGAGTTGAACCTCCAGTTTCCCTTGGAATGGGAAGGTAGCCCGCAACCTTCAAACCAACCCAAACGATAGGGGCAAGGTGACTCTTGCCCTTCGAAACGCGTAGGTCTTTTGCCGCCTTCTTCCGCTTCTGCTCCGACTTTGGCATTTTCCCCAGCCTCGTCTCATTCGACGAGGCTCCGACGTGGGTTTCGCTGGGTTTTCTCGAGCAGCCGTCCTCTTCTTCCGTTTGGGGATCCTGCTACTTTTTGTGCGCCAGCAAAGCACAACCGCTAACTCAACAACATCCCCACCCTCTTAATGGCCAAACACATGAGGGGGACACCGGCATATTGACAAACTTGGCAGCTTTTACGTACTGACATATTGTCAAATTTCCATGGGCTGAGACGTCGGGGTAAGCAGCCTACATCTTTTCCGAGGAAGGGGGGGGCAACATGTCCAGGTAGCATATTTCATGATGCAAGTTGCATTTTCAGACGTCCACCCGTAGGGGGCGGGGATTCAATAGCCACCAGCAACACACATACACACATGCACCGTGTTTATCCTGGTGGGCGCACCTTAGGCCCTCAGCCCAAACGGGTGAAGCATGGTAGTGGTGCAAAAATGTGCCGCATATTTCAGAGAATCACTTGTTGCGTAATTCAGCAGACAGCCCCTCGCCCCGCTCGGTGTTGCCCTTGCTCCGTCCGCCTGGAAAAGTGGAGGGGTGGACGGACTCGTCCGACGACTCATCCCCCCTCAACAGATATCGGACAGTTCGCTGAATTTATTGGCCCAAGGGTCCCAGCGACCCGTGCCGTTTCATCCAACAAACCAACCAAAAAGGGGGAGGCTTATCGTTGGGTGGGTTTTCCCTTCAAAGCCAACCGGCCGCAAAACGGGCAACAAAGGCGTGGATTCCGATTTGGGTAAATTAAACCGCTAAGGGCCACAGGTTTTAGTCCTTGTTTCCATTTACCAGGGTTGCATTTTGGGTACTTGCTTTTGACCCACAGCCATTTTGTGATACACCCGTCCCCCCCTTTGTTGTGGTAGGCGTGGCTCGCCTACAAGAACGCGGACTGCCTGCAGCTCCTGGGTTCCCAGGATCGAGTCGTTCAAATGTTCTCAAAATTTTTGTATTACACCCTGGGAATACGCCCACTGGGTATTGACCCCATGTAGGCACATTTCCGGATAAAACCGTGTTATTTTGAGCCATTCTGGGTCATCTCCCAAAGGGTGTAATACAAAAACCCTCAAAAATGTGGATGGGTCGGGCGGGTTGAAACTTGAAACAGCTGGATGGGAACAAGGTTGAAACAAAAGGTCCCCCACTGGGGAGACAAATTCAGCATGTTTACTCTTGGTGGGAGCACCTTGGTTGGTTGCTTGATGTCCACCCCCCAAAACAAAAAAAAATAGGTTTGCCTTGGACATCGGGCAGAGCAGAACCCTAATCCACCAGGCTGATGAATGCGGGGTGGACCTTTCTCCTTGGGGGCAATCAAAAGAGGTTGTTGAAGCAAACGGGGCTGGGCCACTTCTGTTACTTGGCGATGGCTTCAGTTTGACTCATAGACCAGTGTCATCTATTTTCCCCCCCGGACCGTCAAATCAAGATTAAACCCGCAATGGAGCTCCCATTTGTGGGCTGCCCCCTGATTTTCTAGGGTTGCAGCCCTCCAAACGACTCCAAGGCGAGTGGTTCAGCGGAATCGAGATTCGCATGCCAGGAATCCTCACCAAACGTTTGATTCCACCGAAAGGAAGCCACAATGGAATGGGTGTGTCTGTTTCAACGTACCTCCGCCGACCGAGAAAATGCGTGTCTCCTCAAAAAAGCGACACCTCTTCTTGTCGCATTTTCCTGGGCCCAGTCCCACTGCACGCTTTCCGATCCGCTGAAATCCGGTGCCAGGCAGCGCCTATCAGGGTCAAGCAGTTCAAAAAGGCCGAGGTCCGCTTGCTTGCTTGTTTGTTTGCTTGTTTGTTTGTTTGTTTGCTTGCTTGCTTGGATGCTTGGATGCTTGGATGCAAGCTTGGCTGCTGGTTTGTTTGTTTGTTTGTTTGCTTGCTGGCTTGCTGGCTTTCTTGTTTGTTTGTTTGTTTGTTTGTTTGTTTGTTTGTTTGCTTGCTTGCTTGCTTGCTTGCTGGCTTGCTTGGATGCTTGGATGCTTGGATGCTTGGATGCTTGGATGCTTGGATGCAAGCTTGGCTGCTTGTTTGTTTGTTTGTTTGTTTGCTTGCTTGCTGGCTTGCTTGCTTGTTTGTTTGTTTGCTTGTTTGTTTGTTTGTTTGCTTGCTTGCTGGCTTGCTTGGATGCTTGGATGCTTGGATGCTTGGATGCTTGGATGCTTGGATGCCAGCTTGGCTGCTTGTTTGTTTGTTTGTTTGTTTGTTTGTTTGTTTGTTTGGTTGTTTGTTTGTTTGTTTGCTTGCTTGCTTTGTTTTGTTTGCTTGCTTGATTGCTTCCTCGTGCTTTTTGTTTGCTGCTTGCTTGTATGCTTCTAATTGTTTGTTTGCTAGCTGCCATGCTTGTATGCTTGTATGCTTGCATGCTTGCATGCTTGTATGCTATGCTATGCTTTTGGATGTCTTGTCTGCTGCTTTTGTCTGCTGTTTTTGCCTGCTGCTTTTTTGTCTGCTGCTTTTGTCCTACGTTTGTCTGCCGTGCTTGTGGTTTTTGTGTTCAATGTTGCTTGATTTTGGCAGAAAATACAAAGTCAAGCAAGCAGCTGGTTACTTGCCAGCTGACCCAGTTGCCCCATGGATGTGGTGTTGCCTTTGCGGACGCTGAGTCTGACAAGCCAAAGCTCGGAGGCTCGAGGGTCGTTTTGGTTTTGCTTTTATGTGGTACTTCGTTTGCTTGCTCGTTTGCCTCGTTTGCTTGTTTGGCTTGCTTGCTCGCTTGGCTTGCTTGGCTTGCTTGGCTTGCTTGGCTTGCTTGGCTTGCTTGGCTTGCTTGGCTTGCTTGGCTTGCTTGGCTTGCTTGCTTGCTTGCTCGCTGGGCTTGCTTGCTTGCTCGCTTGGCTTGGCTTGGCTTGGCTTGGCTTGGCTTGGCTTGGCTTGGCTTGGCTTGGCTTGGCTTGCTTGCTTGCTTGCTTTGCTTGCATGTTTGCTTGATTGGTGCTTGCAACGCTTAGTTTTGTTTGAGGTTGAGTTGTTGCAGAGCATCATTTGAGTTTTGATCCACGTAATAAACCTCTTGCTCCTTGAGTTGAGTTGAGGTATCCCACAACTTCACTTCATTATTTAGGCCCTCGAAGTATCTTTTTTTTTGAGTGGTTGTTGGAACAAACAGCCCAACTGTCCATCACAAAGACCAGGAGAACACCCCCAATTCTGCCATGCGCTCTTGCAAAACAAACGTTATCGCTTTGTGCTTATACACTCACTTGCAACCGCAGGGAATCGACCCCAGGTTAAATTCAAGAATACTGTTTTTTGTACGTATATATGTAAATATGTACTATATGTATGTATGTATGTATGTAATGTAATGTAATGTAATGTAATGTAATGTATGTATGTATGTATGTATGTATGTATGTAATGTATGTATGTATGTATGTATGTAATGTATGTATGTATGTATGTATGTATGTATGTATGTATGTATGTATGTATGTATGTATGTATGTGTATGTATGTATGTATGTATGTATGTATGTATGTATGTATGTATGTATGTATGTATGTATGTATGTATGTATGTATGTATGTATGTATGTATGTATGTATGTATGTATGTATGTATATGTATGTATGTATGTATGTATGTATGTATGTATGTATGTATGTATGTATGTATGTATGTATGTATGTATGTAATGTATGTATGTATGTATGTATGTATGTATGTATGTATGTATGTATGTATGTATGTATGTATGTATGTATGTATGTATGTATGTATGTGTATGTATGTATGTATGTATGTATGTATGTATGTATGTATGTATGTATGTAATGTATGTATGTGTATGTATGTATGTATGTATGTATGTATGTATGTATGTATGTATGTATGTATGTATGTATGTATGTATGTATGTATGTATGTATGTATGTATGTATGTATGTATGTATGTATGTATGTATGTATGTATGTATGTATGTATGTATGTATGTATGTATGTATGTATGTATGTAATGTATGTATGTATGTATGTATGTATGTATGTATGTATGTATGTATGTATGTATGTATGTATGTATGTATGTATGTATGTATGTATGTATGTATGTATGTATGTATGTATGTATGTATGTATGTATGTATGTATGTATGTATGTATGTATGTATGTATGTATGTATGTATGTATGTATGTATGTATGTATGTATGTATGTATGTATGTATGTATGTATGTATGTATGTATGTATGTATGTATGTATGTATGTATGTATGTATGTATGTATGTATGTATGTATGTATGTATGTATGTATGTAATGTATGTATGTATGTATGTAATGTAATGTAATGTATGTATGTAATGTATGTAATGTAATGTAATGTATGTATGTATGTATGTATGTATGTATGTATGTATGTATGTATGTATGTATGTATGTATGTATGTATGTAATGTATGTATGTATGTATGTATGTATGTATGTATGTATGTATGTATGTATGTATGTATGTATGTATGTATGTATGTATGTATGTATGTATGTATGTATGTATGTATGTATGTATGTATGTATGTATGTATGTATGTATGTATGTATGTATGTATGTATGTATGTATGTATGTATGTATGTATGTATGTATGTATGTATGTATGTATGTATGTATGTATGTATGTATGTATGTATGTATGTATGTATGTATGTATGTATGTATGTATGTATGTATGTATGTATGTATGTATGTATGTATGTATGTATGTATGTATGTATGTATGTATGTAATGTAATGTATGTATGTAATGTAATAATGTAATGTATGTATGTATGTATGTATGTATGTAATGTATGTAATGTAATGTATGTAATGTATGTATGTATGTATGTATGTATGTATGTATGTATGTATGTATGTATGTATGTATGTATGTATGTATGTATGTATGTATGTATGTAATGTATGTATGTATGTATGTATGTATGTATGTATGTATGTATGTATGTATGTATGTATGTATGTATGTATGTATGTATGTATGTATGTATGTATGTAATGTATGTATGTATGTATGTATGTATGTATGTATGTATGTATGTATGTATGTATGTATGTATGTATGTATGTATGTATGTATGTATGTATGTATGTATGTATGTATGTATGTATGTATGTATGTATGTATGTAATGTAATGTATAATGTAATGTATGTATGTATGTATGTATGTATGTATGTATGTATGTATGTATGTATGTATGTATGTATGTATGTATGTATGTATGTATGTATGTATGTATGTATGTAATATGTATGTATGTATGTATGTATGTATGTATGTATGTATGTATGTATGTATGTATGTATGTATGTATGTATGTTATGTATGTATGTATGTATGTATGTATGTATGTATGTATGTATGTATGTATGTATGTATGTATGTATGTATGTATGTATGTATGTATGTATGTATGTATGTATGTATGTATGTATGTATGTATGTATGTATGTATGTGTATGTATGTATGTATGTATGTATGTATGTATGTATGTATGTATGTATGTATGTATGTAATGTAATGTAATGTATGTAATGTATGTATGTATGTATGTATGTATGTATGTATGTATGTATGTATGTATGTATGTATGTATGTATGTATGTATGTATGTATGTATGTATGTATGTATGTATGTATGTATGTATGTATGTATGTGTATGTATGTAATGTAATGTATGTATGTATGTATGTATGTATGTATGTATGTATGTATGTATGTATGTATGTATGTATGTATGTATGCATGTATGTATGTATGTATGTATGTATGTATGTATGTATGTATGTATGTATGTATGTATGTATGTATGTATGTATGTATGTATGTATGTATGTATGTATGTATGTATGTATGTATGTATGTATGTATGTATGTATGTATGTATGTATGTATGTATGTATGTATGTATGTATGTATGTATGTATGTATGTATGTATGTATGTATGTATGTATGTATGTATGTATGTATGTATGTATGTATGTATGTATGTATGTATGTATGTATGTATGTATGTATGTAATGTATGTATGTATGTAATGTATGTATGTATGTATGTATGTATGTATGTATGTATGTATGTATGTATGTATGTATGTATGTATGTATGTATGTATGTATGTATGTATGTATGTATGTATGTATGTATGTATGTATGTATGTATGTATGTATGTATGTATGTATGTATGTATGTATGTATGTATGTATGTATGTATGTATGTATGTATGTATGTATGTATGTATGTATGTATGTATGTATGTATGTATGTATGTATGTATGTATGTATGTATGTATGTATGTATGTATGTATGTATGTATGTATGTATGTATGTATGTATGTATGTATGTATGTATGTATGTATGTATGTATGTATGTATGTATGTATGTATGTATGTATGTATGTATGTATGTATGTATGTATGTATGTATGTATGTATGTATGTATGTATGTATGTATGTATGTATGTATGTATGTATGTATGTATGTATGTATGTATGTATGTATGTATGTATGTATGTATGTATGTATGTATGTATGTATGTATGTATGTATGTATGTATGTATGTATGTATGTATGTATGTATGTATGTATGTATGTATGTATGTATGTATGTATGTATGTATGTATGTATGTATGTATGTATGTATGTATGTATGTATGTATGTATGTATGTATGTATGTATGTATGTATGTATGTATGTATGTATGTATGTATGTATGTATGTATGTATGTATGTATGTATGTATGTATGTATGTATGTATGTATGTATGTATGTATGTATGTATGTATGTATGTATGTATGTATGTATGTAATGTATGTATGTATGTATGTAATGTATGTATGTATGTATGTATGTATGTATGTATGTATGTATGTATGTATGTATGTATGTATGTATGTATGTATGTATGTATGTATGTATGTATGTATGTATGTATGTATGTATGTATGTATGTATGTATGTATGTATGTATGTATGTATGTATGTATGTATGTATGTATGTATGTATGTATGTATGTATGTATGTATGTATGTATGTATGTATGTATGTATGTATGTATGTATGTATGTATGTATGTATGTATGTATGTATGTATGTATGTAATGTATGTATGTATGTATGTATGTATGTATGTATGTATGTATGTATGTATGTATGTATGTATGTATGTATGTATGTATGTATGTATGTATGTATGTATGTATGTATGTATGTATGTATGTATGTATGTATGTATGTATGTATGTATGTATGTATGTATGTATGTATGTATGTATGTATGTATGTAATGTATGTATGTATGTATGTATGTATGTA